CTGAAGTACATTACACTTGCCTAAAAAAAATCATCTTAGTTGAATTCTGTCTCTCTGGGGAAAAATACTTGTCCAAATTCATAGAGCTAATAGGTAATTAAATTCAGATGATTAATTATATTTTTATTATTAGTGGTGGTGGTATTGAGATTGGGTCTCACTATGTAGTCCTGGGTGACCTGGAACTGACTACATAAATCAGGCTGGCCTCAAACTTGCAACATTCTTCCCACCTCTGCCCCTTGAGTGACAGGATTAAAGGCATGTGTCAATAACTTATGCATGGCATAAGTTAAGCAAAGACAGTCTACTCCTCTAAATTCTTATAAAATTTAATAAATTCTATAACATCTAACTTAACAAATATTGCTCTCTCAGCCTCCACGTAGTTCTTTTTGGAGTGAAGCCAGAATTCAAGCTCAGTCTGTGGTGGATTTTATTTACCATCTTTCTTTGCTTGCACTGGGCTTATGTCTTATGGATTCAAGGTGGTAGCACCTCATTCAAGTTTTGGAAGCATGGTACCTCCTCACCCCCCAACTCCATGAGGTGACTCCTCAGGTAAGAGGGAGCAGGACAAGGTTAGCTGGGGAAAAAATACAGGATCTCTAATCAAAATCCAGGCAGAAAACCACAAACCCACTCCTCGGTGATAAGCTTTCGCTAAAAACTGTTAGATGTTTAGATGACCAAATTGAATTGGGCATCTTATACTGTTGTTTGCTAAACTTGCTGACCTTTTGACCACGGAACCCTATGATGTTTGGGCCGATCTGTCTGTGTTCCTCCCAGAAGCTTTAGCAAAGGTCCAGGATGCCTGGCCTGGGTCAAGTGCCAGAGACGGTGTGGAGAAGACACTCATGCAGGCTCCCCTGTTCTCCCTCTTCTGTTACCACCTCCCACAGTCCACTCTCACGGACACCTTCTTCCCTCTTTAGACTACCAGCCAGCATCCCGGTTCAGATCTACTCTGAGTAATGGGCCTTTCTCGTAACCGCACAGATCCTACAGCTCTCTGCAAATCTGGAGACTGGCTTCTATAGGACCCCCAGCACCGCCAACACCCCCTGGCATCCCCTCCTGCTCCCATCCATCTCCCTCACTTCTCCACTCTCCATGATACTGCGTTAGGGCCTATGCACCTCCTTCCACCCAGAACGCTCTTTCCTGGGTCTTCCATGCTGGCTTTTCTCAAGAGACAGAACATATCCAAAGGGAGTGCCCCTCTTCAGAGATGTCTGTCTGAGCATCCAGAAATCTCAGCCTGTAGACACACAGTTGTAGCAGGAGGGGTCAGTGTTCTGGGGGCAGGCTTAGTACTGAAACATTGTCCTATGGCACTATTGGCAAGACACATCGGTGCCTCCTGTGTATCACAAATGGCTTTCCCATGTGCCTTCAGGCTGGAAGGCTCTTGCCTGGCTTTTGGAGCTAGCGTTCTGCTTAGACCAGGGGAGCTGAGGATTAATCAGCTTCCAGAGGCACCCCTTATTATGACTCTCTTTGGATGGGGTAATAGGTATTTTGCCCCATGCTGCTGTCCTCCAGTCAAACCCAGCTGTCCCCAGCAGTCACCTGCTCATGAGGGCATTCTTTCCTTCCTCGCCTCAGGTCTCTGCCTTTTACTGAATACCTCCTTGCCCTTGAATCTGCCTTACTGTCTGAACCCAAACTAATGAGACAAGTACAGATTTCCTGGCCTCAAATTGGCCACCCTGACAACTGTAATTACTTCCTCCTCCTCCTCTGCCGTCTCCTCCTCTTCTTGTGTGTGTGCATACTTGAGTGTGTGTATATTGCATGTATGTACACGTGAGTATGGACGCATGCACGCCACAGAGTGTGTATGGAGGCTAGAGGACAACTTTTGGGAGTTGGTTCTCACCTTCAACTTAGTTGAGGCATGGCCTTTCTTGTTTCTGCTGCTATGATGCACACCCCTCACTTTCTGGCCCCCCGAGTTTCCAGGCAATCCTCGTGTTGTTGGGGGCCGAGCCCGGACAGCTGTGTCTTGAATTTTGTGTGACCTTCCTTACTTTATCAAACCTTGCAAAAACAGGTTCCTGGCCTAACCGCGGGCTGTACAACTTCCTGGAGTACCTGCTAATCAGCCAGCTGCAGGGGCCTGGGACCAAAGTGACCTCACCCTTCCTTAGGAATTTTCCATTCTTCTCCCCTGCTCCCCCTCCCTGCCTGAAGCCCTGCTTATAAGCCTCAATACCCAGTCAATAAACGAGACCTTGACGCGACTCAGACTGACTCTGTCTTCCTTTATGCGCCTGGTCTCCTTTCTCTCTTGCCCCCATTGATCTTTCAGGAGGTGCCTCCTCAGGTCTCCCCAGTAACCTGGCCCGTGGGACGGGTCATCGTGTATCTACCCTCCTTCCACCTCTCAGAGGGAGTGCTGGACTTACAGATGCATAGCTGCATCCAGTTTGTTTTTGAGACAGGGTTTCTCTGTGTAGCCCTGACTCTCCTGGAACTCGCTTTGTAGACCAGGCTGACCTTGAACTCAGAGATCCACCTGCTTCGGCTTCCTGAGCGCTGGGATTAAAGGCATGCGCCACCACCGCAGGTAATGCATCCAGCTTTTTACATGAGTTTTGGGGATCCAACTTAGGTTGTAGGCTTGCTGAAGACTCTATTCTCAGGAAACACAAACTAAGGTATTGAAACCCCATTCAGTCTGACCCACATGGCCATTTCCTGGTCTCCTCAGGTCCAGTGGAACTATGGTTGAATGGAAGATTGAGAACATGAACCATTCACATCAAGTCTAAGATCACTTGAATGTAGGACCAACGAGTGGGTCATCTGTGAGCTGAGAGAGAAATGATCAGCTTGGAGCAGTCACTAACCAGAGCATAACCAGACACAGACTGTCAGTAGCTGGACTCCGTGTGCCTGTGTGAATCCCTGAGCAGAGCAGAGTAGTTTTCTCAGAATGGGGCCTTGCGGGGGTAAATGTAAGGGTGAGACCAGATATTTGCATCATAAAGGGTCTCTCTGCTGGAGTGAAGGCCGAGAGTGAGCTGATTGCCTCTTAGAAAGCTTCTGGGTCTTTCCATAGCTGGGTCTCCATGGAAATTAGTTTGCAGAAAGGAGCTATTTTAAGGACAAGCAAAGACAGACCTGGTAGGCTTGGGTTAGGGAAGGTGTCTGTGGGAGAGAGTGTTGCCCAGTGACTCACTCATTTCTGTGGTTAGAAAGTCACAGGAAAGCGACAGAAATCTGGACGGAGGAGTGAAGTGGCTGCCCATCTAGTCCCACCAGTGGCCTGGCAGGGCAGCCACCGCTATCTGGATCCCTCGTGTGGTGATTAGAGGCGGACTCATTCATGCCAGAGACCATAATTATGGTAACAGGAAATCTGGGCTTTGACCAGCTTCATATAGCCATGCAAAGGAGGGCAGATTTGCTTCTTGAAAGACAAAGTGACTGTTGATCCACAATTTTAGCCGTGTTGGGTCATCTTAGGGGTGGGGCAGTTTGTGAGCAAAGCTTGTTAACCTCTTACGGAGCTCAGTGAAGAAAACTGAGGTGACAGGGGGCCAATATCCGACCTCCCATTCCTCAGCCACACAAGGGAAAACTTATAGGCTGGAGGATGGGGGTAAGACAGAATTGCTAGGAAAAGAGACAGCTTGAGTTGGTTCTGGGGGACAGTGGTGGCCCAGAGCCCAGGTCAGGGAGCTCAGAGGTGTGTACAGGACTGAGAGAGGCTGGGAGGACGAGAATGAAACTTCAATTGTAGTGTTTCCAGTTGAGCATCAGGGGGCCCCAGCTGACCACACACAAAGCTAGGTTCTTAAGACAGCTGTGTTGGACCATGGAGGAAGAGGAAAAAGGGTCTAGAGACTGCACAGGTGACTAGCGCTCAAAGTGAAGGGACAGGAAGCATGCATAGATCCTACCTTGCTGCTTCTCTTTGAGGCCACAGAAATGATAGGGGAGGCCTGGACATCTACAGGAAGGAGCTATTTGCTACTCCATGGATGGGCGGCTGCAGGCACCCCCACATAGCAAACCAGCCTATTATAGTAGCAGGAAGTGTCCCATGGGCCAAAGGCACTAGGGTCCTGGCCCTCAGCTCTGGGGTCACAAGGGAGTTTGACCCAGGGTGGATTCCCAGGAAAAATGAGCTGAAGAACAGCAGGGTGGAGCATGCCTGTACTTCCTGTGTCTTCCCTCTAGAATATCAAGGTAACTTCTGCTGTGTCTCTACCTGTCTCTTGGTCTACTGGGTCAGAATGCTGGGGGGGCCCTTGGTTCACTCATGTACTGGGTCAGAATGCTGGAGCCTGGAGATGAGGGCGAAGTTCTTTGTGGGGGCCAAGTAGTGAATCTGTAGAGAGACATTCACCTAAGTAGAGGTGGGGAGTTATTCTGGAGTATTCTCAGCCTTGAGTCTACCAGTTCACAGGGACTATCAAAGCAGGCAGTGAATGGTGTAGTCAGTGCCTCCCAAGAATGCTGCTCCCTGGAGCTCTGTTGGTAGCCCAGGCCTGGGGTCTGAGAGCAGGAGGGATGCTGAATATCTCAAGGTGGAAGGAATGGTGACATGGGCCATAGCACCTTGCAAGTGGCACCAAGCAGTATCTATGCTAGTCCCCTGGCTTGAAGCTGTTCCCTAGCCTGTGAATTCATGTCCCAGGGATGTTTTTTATGGGTCTATTGTCCCTGAAACAATCAACATTGGTCAAAAGCTAAGAAGAACTTGTGGGCTGTTGGTCAGCCAGCGTCAGAGGACACTTGTGGAAGTTGGGTGGCTGCAGGACATTTGGAGTCTCATACAGCTTTATGCATGAGGTAGTAGTTATGTTATCTACCCTTGTTCATGTCCATGCCCAACTCCAGACTGTCTCCACGGTGAGGATACTATTTTCTGGCCATCAGGAACCCTCAACTGCCTCCTCCTGTTCCAAAGTCTCACTGCAGTAGTTACAGCACAAGGAAGAATTGTGGCCCTGGGTATCAGGAAGATGCCACACAGTCAGGAACCTAGTTAGAAAGGCACAATTTATTGGTCACACAGACTGGGAAACATAGGGGATAGACCTGCTTTCCTGCACATTCTGGATCTGGTTTCCTACATTAATCCTGATCCATCAAAAAGCAAGACAGAAAAAAGACACCACCATCCTGTTCTCCTGGGATAACCAAGGACACAGGGCAAGCCACACAACTTGGGAAGAAGAGGCTGCACTGTTTTGAGAGCCTGGGACCAAGGCTCGCCTTCCCTGACGGCAGGCTGGAGAGCTCAGCCATTGGGGACAGTGGCAGCGATTCTTCCTCAGTACACCAGAAATGCGGGGGGGGGGGGGGGGGGGGGACTTGGGGGTGTGCTTGGCCCAACCCAGGGTGTGGTGGTAGCTGCCCACCTAGAGCGGCACAGGGAGCACTGAGCCATGGGTTCAGCAGGGGTCTGACATGGCCGGCTTAGGTTGGGGCCAGATCTCTTCGTTGTCGAGTTGGAGCTGATCTCTGACTCCCCCAGACTGAAAACCCTGTGACAGAACCCCAGCCTTAGCTGAAGCAGCTTGCATCTCTGAAGTCAGATAGGGCCCGGCTCCTTGTACCCTCAGTTGGTTATGCAGATTCTTCAGGTCGCTGCAGTGGAGCCGGGCTAGCTCTAGGTTTTGCTGGCTTTTTTTAATGCTTTGTTTAAACTTCTCAGGACCTACCATTTGGGATTGGTGGGTCAGGGCCCAGGGTTCAGGTTGACTGAAACCTCAGCTCTGGAGGCCAGCCAGACAAATGTTCGTAAAGCACTTAACATAGCACATGGCACCTGACCATTATTATTATTAATATTATTATTATTATTTATATCTTCACCCTCAGACGAGTGTCTCAGTTCCTTTCTTTAAAAATGGTGACTGGAAGAAGGTCCTGGAGTCCAAGTTCTGAGACCTGGGTGTGGCTGTCTGTTGTCCATATGGTTAAGTGTTTTCCACCCAGCTTCGGCATCTGCCACCCAGTGTTGCAGCCAGCACGCTCTTTGGACCACAGAGAAGCGAGGCCCTTTTCTGAAAAATGCACAGCCTTGGACTGGAAGCTGGGTAAGAGGAGCTAGCAGGAGGCCCTGGGAGAGGCATCCTGGGAGAGGCTTTGACCTGCTTTGTGCTGTTCCTCCAGGCTCCCATCGCCAGCAGCTCACCAAGGACTTCACTGCAGGATGAGAAGAGAAGGGCTATTAGGGCCTTGCTATCTCCAGCCACATTTGACCCCTAGTGCTGTGAGCTAGATCAGGCTGACATGAAAGTACACTTAGGACACTGTCCTAAGTGTCTTATATGCTAATTGATATGTTCTATGCATAGACTATATATGAAACAGATACAAGTTGTATGTATGAAACATGAGTGATAACTGTAAAAATGATAACAAAGTAACAGCATATGGCATAATCTATTTCTCCCCATAAATCCAAATAGCAGATATCATTAACATCCTCTTTTGATAGATTAAGAAGGCACAGAGCTGGGCAGAGACTTGGGATTTAAATCCGACACAGAACTGTAGTACAGCATTTGTCTGGAATATAAGGCCCTGAGTTTGACCCTCAATACTGCAACAAAATACAATAATGGGCCGGGTGTGTTGGTGAAAGCCTTTTATCCCAGCACTTGGGAGGCAGAGGCAGGCGGATCTTTGAGTTCGAGGCCAGCCAGGTCTACAGAGCAAGTTCCAGGACAGACAGGACTACACAGAGAAACTCTGTCTCAAAAACAAAAAACAAAACAAAAATAAAATATAATAATAATACAATAACAGAACAGCCAGCAGTGTGGTTCTAGAGTCTGTTCATTTCTCTTGTGGTACTGGGGATTCAGCTGAAGGCTTCATGGAGGCTTCGTGTGTTTCTACTACTGAGCTTAGCTCCCAGACTGCTGATGTTGGTGGTTCTTTTTTGGTTTTTCGAGAAGGGTTTGTCTGTGTAGCTTTGGAGTCTGTCCTAGAACTCACTCTGTAGATCAGGCTGGCCTCGAACTCACAGAGATCCGCCTGGCTCTGCCTCCCGAGTGCTGGGATTAAAGGCGTGTGCCACCACTGCCCGGCAATGTTGGTTGTTCTTAAGACAGTGTCTTGCCATATAGCCCAGGCTGACCCTGAGCACCCGGCCTCCTGCCTTGAACTTTCAGAATGCTGGGATTATAGGGTGTACTACCATGTCCAGTCTCAACTGTGTTTTTGTTTTTTAAACATTGTTAGTTTTGCTCTAGAATAAATATATTCTATTAGAAGGGGATATTCTGCCTGAAGTTTCTAAAACACCAGGGATGTTTTAAGTGCATATATTAATTAAAGACAATAAAACTGAAATATATAGGGCTCAACACACCTGCATGGCAGTCCTGCCAAGCAGCCCCTCCTCCTGGCGGTGCTTGCCATGGTGGGGGAGCTCCGCGTTGTCACGGTAGTCTCTGCCTTTGGAGTGCTGCAGCTGCAGGACTGCAGGGCTCTTGACCGGCAGGGGCGGCCGTGGAGCTGGGATGGGAGTCGTCTGTTGGCTCATTTCGGACCTGGAAGGCTTGATAGGCCTCTTGGCTGGCACCGGGGCTTGGGAACTGGCCGAGGCCTTGGGTTTCCCTTGGTTCTTGTCCCCGCTGGGCACTCTTCCGTCAGCAGAGGAGGAACAGGTAAAGGAGCGCATCCGGGGTGTGGGGCCAAAGACAGGCACGGGGACCTGTTTGCTTGTCCCCTTGACACCTTCCACCTCTTGGGTTTTGGGGAGCAGGATGCTGGGTGGTGAGATTCCTGGGTCTGGACAGGGTGGAGGCTCCTTCCGCAGCATCTTGGGGGACTCCTGCTCTTTTCTGGCTGCCAGCTTAGGGAAGGAACTCACGGACCCGTACAGCGGGTTCTCAAACATCTCCGGCTTCGTCAGCTGCAGGTCCTCCTGTAACAGAGCTTCCACTTTCCCCAGGTCAGCAGATCTGGAACCACGGGGAAGAGGAGAGTGGAAAGGAAACATGTTTAGAAGTCGGGGCCTGGGGAGTAGATGCTTCCTGCCTCTGGGCTTTCATTTAGGGGAGATACAAATGTTCTGGAACTAAATACAGTAGTGGTGGTATAACATGTAATACACCAAATGACACCAAACTGTTCATCTTCCCGGGGATAATTTTACATGAACTTCACCTTGATATAATATAAAAATGCAGGGTCTCATTATGTATCCTTGGCTGATGTAGAACTGACAGAGACCCACCTGCCTCCCTGTTTGCCGAGTATTGGGATTAAAGGCATGCACCACCATGTCAGGCTAAAGGTAGTCCGGACAGCCTCATGGTCCTCCTGCCTCCGCCTCTTCAGCATATCTTACCTGTCTGTGTTACCATAACTGGTAACACTTTTTAAAATGAGTACATAAACAAGAGACCGTGGAGCTGGGTGTGGTGGCACATGCCTTTAATCTCAGCACTTGGGAGACAGAGGCAGGCAGATTTCTGTGAGTTTGAGGTCAACTTGGTCTATATGGTGAGTTCCAACACATCCAGAGAGCTACATAATAGAGAGATCCTATCTGAGAGAGAGAGAGAGAGAGAGAGAGAGAGAGAGAGAGAGAGAGAGAGAAAGAGAGAGAGAGAGGATGGTACTGTGACATTCCAAGTTTTTCCATGTTCTCAGAGGCAACCTTAATTCTGTTTAAACCATAGCACCTGTGAGCAAGTGGGTTACCCCTGGAGATTTTGTAGAAAGGGTAACATGTAGGAAGCTACCATGTATGTGTGAGACGCTGTTGTGACAGAGCAGAGCTGCCATGCCCCACAAACCCAACCCGGGCCCAGGGGCCAATAGTCACAGTATTCTTCCCATGGCCCTCAAGCTTTCTCTCTGGAAGGCTCTGGGAAGCATGGTTTCTGTGACAATCTCAGTTGTCAACTTGATGAGGTCTGCGATGACCTGGGAGACAGCCTCTGGGAGATTATCTTGATTAGATAATTATGTGGGGAGACTTGCCCACTGTGGGCAGCCCCGTTCCAAAGGCTGGAGTTCCAGACTGAAAAAATAAAATAAAATAAAGAGAAAGCCATGCATATGTGTGGAGGTCAGAGGACAGCTTGTAGGGACAACTCTCTTCTTCCACTGCATCAGTTCCTGGGACTGGACTCAGATGGTCAGGCTTGGTGACAAGCACCTTTACCCACTGAGTCTACTCAGCAGCCTGCCTTTTACTTTTTGGAAAAACTGGAAGTCACCACATATCCAGAAATGTTGAGACCTTGAAAGATGCCAAAAGCCATCCTTGTCTCTGACCCGCCTTGGAAACTGTCCGGACCCTCTAAGACCTCTATTATGGGTAGGTCTCCGGGAGAGGTAACCTGATCACAGAGTCTCAGATGAAGCAGAATGCTGGATAGAAAGTGAAAACACAAGGCCAGGGGCAGAGAGACGGCTCAGTGGCTAAGAGTACTTGCTCCTCTTCCAGAGGACCCAGGTTCAATTCCCAGCATCTGCATAGTGGCTCACAACTGTATGTAACTGCAGTTCTTGGATATCCAATGTGGAGATAGAAGCAGGCAAAACACCCATACACGTGTGTGTGTGTGTGTGTGTGTGTGTGTGTGTGTGTGTGTGTGTGTGTGTGCATTTAATTAAGGAAAAACCCCACAAGGCTTGGCACCTGACTATTCACTCAGCTGTAGACATGGTAGAGGGGGGGGCAGGGGACAGAGCCAATGAGATGGAGCTTAGAAAGTGTTCCCTACAGCAGGGTGCTCAGAGTGCTTCTGCCTTCTTTAGGGGGAGGTTAGGAAAAACAGATTAAAGAGTTTTAGTCTCCTGAGTACAGGTAACAGAGAACCAAGCCCTTATCCAGAGGACAGAGTCTGTTCTCATGCAGAAGACTCTGGATGCCAGCCAGGGTCCCAGCAGAGGCATCTTTCTCATCATCCAGCCTTGACCTTGGATGGGAGTCATCCTTGTTTGCCATGATTGAAGTGTTTCCCAGGAGATGGAACTTAAATCCCTGGGATGTGTGGCCATTGCCCCTTAGTCCTGCAGGAGTGGTGGGAGGACCTTGAAGTACCAGTGATACCCTATTGCCTTTATTCAGGCTGAGCTGGGTACCTGGAGCAGCAGGTATGGGGGCTTCGAGGTTTTGCTTCTAATTCTCTCTTTGGTGAGAGGCGAGCTTAGAACCTCATCCTATGGGCCCCGAAGGATGCCCACCCCTGTGCTGTCACCCAGGGCTGGAGGGAACATGTTCCCACCAAGCTCTGTTCACGGTGTGAAGCATGAAGTGACCTCTACCTTGGGACCCTCCAAGGATCACACCATGGACTTCCGTTTTCTTTATGGCTGTTTCTAGCTTTGCTTCCTGGGGTCACTGGAGAGATTGCCTTTGTCAGTCGAGCACTTCAGTACCTACTGGATGGAGACCTTGGTCCTCTTCTCCAGGGAGAGATACTGAGGCTAGCTCTAGACCTGGCTAGGTTCAGGGGCCCATGCCCCTACCCCTTTTAGCTAGTTTAGGGAACAGCTAAGGCACAGGAGTATCAGTGCCTCTCCAGAGGAATCCCTAGGCAGGCCTGGCATGGGCATTTGACTTGGAGGAGTTGTTGGGGGGAGAACCATGCTGTGGATGATGCCCCAGCATTGGCTCCTGATTACTGTAAGTTAGCTCCGCTAAGGAACTGAAGTCCTGAGGAGGAAAGAAAAGAAGACAGGACTCAGGAAAGAGGCTGCACGTGAGAACCTGTGGCATCACGAAGTGCTTAAGGCAGCTGTGAGGGGAGACACATCTATGTCGCTGTCAACTGGGTCCGGATGTCTCTCGGCCATCTGTCATCCTTTAGGAATGAGAACCCCACCTAGTGTCTCCCTTAGCTGCTTAGAGACTTCATCCCTGGGCTGTGTGGCTCTTCCTCCTAAACCAGTTTTGGCCAGTCCCTCTGTAGGGTGACAGCTCTGCTTTCATTTGGATTTCTAGTCACAATTTATTATTATTTTTAATTGCCACTAATGGGAAAATCCAGAGAATTATATATGAGAACACGGATGCTTGTTTTTAAGAAAAGAGAGCGATTTGGGTAGGTGAAGGCTTCTACTCAGAATTCCTCACCCCTTTCCCACAGAGACCTCCAGGGAGTGGAGGGTGGCAAAGGATGCCACTGGTTCTAGAAATGTCTTTGTCAGTAAATGCAGGGCTTTTTTGTTTGGTTGGTTGTTTTTCGAGACAGGGTTTCTCTATGTATACTTGGCTGTTCTGGAACTCACTCTGTAGACCAGACTGGCCTTGAACTCACAGAGATCCACCTGCCTCTGCTTCTCGAGTGCTGGGATTAAAGTCATGCGCCACTATTGCTCAGCGATAGCAAATGCAGTTTTTATAAGAAGATGCTCTTCTTGGCAACCCATGCCTGGATTTAAAATCAGGTTACACCAATTGTTGGGACACGCAGAAGCCAAAGTAGCAGGCTGAACCTACTACAACTCTGTCCTCCTCAGGCAGCCATCTTTGGGAGCCCTCAGGGGGTGCTTGAGAGCAGGAAAACACAATTCAGAAGATACTAACCTTGCCTCTTGCATCCTGGGGCAGAGGCCACGGTTGGCTGTGGAGGATGAAAACTTCTTTGGAGACAGAGGTGGCTGGGACGGAGGAGTGGGAGGACCCTCTCCCCTCCCGGGCCCCAGGGAGGAGTCCTTGGGTGGCTGGTCATAACTCCAGGCTGTGAGTTGCTGGTCTGGGGATAGGGTTGATTTCCCATGCAGGGGCTGTCCGAAGGGCCCCACACCAATGTAGTTTGGATTGATGATCTCATTGAGACTGGAGACACTACATGCAGGGATCCTGTAGGAAGATGTGGAGGCACATCTGAGACTCTTCCCTTCTCTGTTGACAACCAGCCTGAGGAAAATGTTCCTCGGCTTCTTAACTTCTTGGTACCTTCATTCTGGGGTAATTAATTCATTCACTCATTTATGGATGCAATGCAGTAAAGAGAAACAAGAGATCAAGGAGAGACAAGCAGGAAGGCTGGGAGCCACTAGGCAGAAGGCAGCTGGAGAAGAGCACTCAAGGTTGCCTTTGCATTGAAATGAGATGAAATGCAGAAGAAAGAAAAGGAAGGATGCTCTGGGCAGTGGCAAAGGTCCATGCCAAGGCCCAAAGGTCAGGGATAGAGATTGGCCTGTTGCAAGGCTCTCTGAAGACCAGTCAACACGTGGCAAAGAGTAGAATGAGAACATGGCAGAGCTGTGTGTGTGTGTGTGTGTGTGTGTGTGTGTGTGTGTGTGTGTGTGTGTGTATTGGGGGGACGGGATAAAGAATACATTTTTTCAAGGCAGACTGTACAAGGCCCATGTGGGACACGTGGGTCTTGCACATTCTGTGTAAGGCATCAGAAAGGTAAGATAAGTGTGCAGTCATGGAGGTTGAGGCTAGAGGTGTTAAGGAAGGCAGCTGTCTTAAAACTGAAGGAGACAGTCTAGGTACCCTTGTAGTCACACACCACATCATGCTCCATGCTGGGCTCCATCTCAGGAGGACTAACAAGACCACATTAGGAAACAGAGGTGATTCTGGTACTAGGAAATGCTGTCTTTAGTAATACAGGCTGGAACGTCCAAGCTATTCTCAAGTCAGTCCTTCCTGTTAGTCGCTGTGTTGGTAGGTTGTTTTTGGTTTTGTTTTGTTTTTCCTTGAGACAGGTTCTCATTATATAGCTCTGGCTGTCCTGGAACTCACTGTGTAGAAAAGACTAACCTTGAACTCACAGAGACAGGCATTCTTCTACCTTGTGAGTGCTGGAATTAAAGGAATGTGCCACTACATCTCTCTGTGTTTGTTAGTTTTAGCTGTCCTCTCAACACAATCTAGAATCACCTGGGAGAAGTCTTAATGAGGAATTATCTAGACCAGTTTGGCCTGTGGGTATGGCTATGGGACTTGTCTTCATTGCTAATTAATGTAGGAAGACTCAGTCCCCTGTGGGCAGCACCATTTCCTAGGCTGGGACCTGAACTGTGCCTGAGTGAAGAATAGCTGAGAGCAAGCAAGGGTGCATGGATTTATTCTCTCTGTTCCTGACTGTCGATGTAATACTTTAAGTTCCTGCCTTAATCTCCACAACAATGGACTGTAAAGTGAACTTGAAAGTCAAATAAACCCTTTCATCCCCATGCTGCTTTTTATTGGGGCATTATCACGCAACAGAAATTGAAACTAGGAAGTCATAGATGGGGACCTTCGACCACTTATGTTCCTGGCCTCCCTGGACAGAGGGAAAGCATTTTTACCCCAGAATTATTCAGTCATCTATAATTCCTTCTTCCTGGACAGCACAGCCTTCCACTCGCTGGTGGTGAGTCCCTAGGTCACGGACTATACTGTGTTTACGTTGGTTTCTTCCTGATATACACCAGGTGCTCAAAAAGGGCCAGTTGAGCTGAACTGTTCCAACACGAAAGAGTCTCCAAGCCTTTGTCACAGTTACGATGATCTCCCCAAAGGTAGAGATTTGAACTCAGGATGTGTAACTGAAGTAGGAGAGTGGTTTCTTCTTCTCCGACCTTGGCTTTCCTGTGTCCCACTTTACCCTCTCCTGGACTTTGGCTCACACAACCCAGCTAGTAGTAGTAGTACATCTTGGGAGTTTCATCTACCTGCCAGTAGGCTCCCACTGCCTCACGGGGTCGTGGCTGGTGAGGTTCTTCAGGCACTTCATTCCACTGGACTCATCCCGCTCTGTCTTCACAAAGTCTGGAAGAGAGGGTTCAAGAAAAAACATGTGAGGGCCAGGTCACCACATGGGTTAGAAATGGCAATGTGGTATCCATTTGCACGCCATTGCAGGAAAGTAAATGCAGGAAGAGGTATTTCAGGTTTCAAAATCCTCATGCTTGGTGATTGATTAATGATGCCTGCCATGGCTTCACAAGGAAGAGAACAGATACTTATGGTTCAGTTGTTATTTCATGAAATATTTCTAACTTGTTATCTCAGCCAAGGACAAAACAGACAAACATTTCTTGTCAGATTAGCACAAAATGACACATAACATTAGAGTACCTCACATGCTGAGCTAATCTGTTTATGGGGCTTAAAGGGACCCCCAACTTAATTTCTGAATCTGGCATGTGATTGCTAGGTGATGACCACTGTCTCTTCAACCCATTGTCCTGCTAGAGAAAAGACCTCACAGGGCCCGGGGGAGTCACGTGGACGGGAGCAGTGGTCCTTGGTGCACTAGAGCCTTGCTGGCATGGGGAGCCCCAATGCCCTCTGTTGTGAGTTCTACTCTCACTGTTTCCATAACAGGCAAGCAACCAGTGTGCCCACCACTCCTGACTAGCCCTGGGTGAACCTTATCTTAGCCACTTCCTGAGTTTGTAACCTTCAGCCAGTTACCTAGCCTATCTATGCCTCTGTTTCCCAATCTGCCAAGTAGCGATAATCATACTGTTGTGAGAGATAAATAAGATGCCTTTTTTTCTTCTCGTCAAAAAAGTCTCACTATGTTATCCAGGCTAGCCTTGAACTCATGACACTCCTGCCTCAGTCTCCTGAGTGTCGGTATTAAAAGTGTGCACCACCATGCTACCCTAGAGGCTTTCCGACCATGATCTACTCTGAGGGCATGGATCACAGAACACTTGATAGCTTTGCTGAGAGAAAGCACATGCCCGTCCCTAGTGCAGCAGCCGGGAAGGGGCTGGCCTACCATAGAGCTTCTCCCTCATCTTGCCCTGGGAGGTCTGCAGCTTTATCTCCCCTCTGAAGTGTCCAGTCATCTCCCCGTGGTGGGTGAGAGGCGTGTAGATGGGAAGCTGAGTCTCTGTGGTCTCCAGATGAAGGGCAATGCAGCCTTCACCTGGGGAAAAGAGAGACAACATCAACACGAAAACCTGGGTATGAGACAGACATGGAGCATGCCTAGAGATGTAGCTGCTGTACTGGGAGATAATTCCTTGAAGCAATCAGCCAGGCAGGGATTAACTGACACACCCTTCCAATCAATGCCTCAGCAACATGGGGCAAATGTCTCAGGCCTCATAGGAAAAAGAACTCTATACAGATCAATGTGGAAAGAAAAAAATCAAATCCTAGAAATTCCATCCCAGAAACAGCATTAAATGCTAATCTGATTGCTGTAGGGAAAGCTCACTTCCCAAGGTTTGAAATGGTACAAGAAATAAACAAAACCAGATGAGCAGGTAAGAGCACAGGTCAGTCTAAAACGTCTAGACAAGGAAAAGTCTGAAATGAAAGGAGGCCAGGCTGGAGAGCTGGCGTGGCATCAGGAAGGGGCTGCTGCTCTGTACCTGGGTCTGAGGAGCTGGCTGGGGACACAAGAGAGGTGCAGTGGCACAAGAAGATTCGGGTTCAAGTCACAGCTCAGATGGTGACTGTGTGACCTGGGCAAGTCACTTGACCTCTATGAGCCACAGTTTACTGGTTTACTCATTGGGGAACAGAACCTGCCTCTTGAGGTCTTGTCAAGATAAAATGAAATGGTACCTGCAGCTCCTCCAGCAAGGCTAAGAGGGAGGTTGCTGCCATTTGTGCCCAGAAGCTACAAGGAACAGAGATGGTAACCCATCAGGAAATCAAGGGACAGAGTAAGAGGCAGCATCATGGTGTGATGGGCAAGGGCAGACAGGCTTGCTTGGAAGGCTGAGTCACCACCAGCTTCACTACAGAGGTTGAGGCTAATGGGCAGGTACGGTCCCTGGCCTGGGATGCTTACCGTACGATTCATCGCTATCAGAGGATTTAATGCTGATCAGGATGTGCTGGTCCAGTAGGTACTCGGGATCAGAGATAATAGGCTTTAGCTGCAGAGGAGGCACCAGATTAGAGTTGACAGGTAGGGAAGGTGGATGTGGGCCACCAGTCTTGATGTTAGAATACACAGGAGGATGGAACTGAAGATGTTCTTTCAACCAAACTCAGGTCTTAGCTCTCCATGCCCAAGAGAGCAGGTGGAGCCCCTTGCTCAGCCGAGTGAGGAGTAACTTTCTTTCCGCCCCCATCCTCAAACTGGGTTGACCTTCCAGGTCCCTTGTCTCCGTTCTTCCTTCCCTTCTTTGCATATTCCTGGGGTCAGAGGAAGGACCAGCAGCCAGGTTTGGAATGAAACCTTCCCTTCCAGCCCCTCCAAGGTCTGCAGCTGCATATAAAGAGGGCACCATGGGACCGCTCCCCATCTGGGGAAATGTGTCTCCTTGCCAAAGACCCTCAGTTGGGCTTGAAGTATCCTGTGGCTTGCTAAAGGTGTGACTTGGTGAGTGACAGACTCCTGAATGTCAGCAGTGCCCCCAACTTCCTGATACTAAAAATTGTTCAGAGCTATCAGGGACACAGCACAATGGTAGAGTGCTTGCCGGGCACATGCAAAGGCTTAGATTCCATCTCAGGTACTATAAGCACCAAGTAGGTAACAAGAACCAAAGGGGAATGGGCATACCAGGAGATGAAAACCATTTAGGAATACCGAGGTCACGTGTCCATGTTGAAAACCGTGCCTTAAATCACTTGAGAGCAAAGTCTAAGCTGCCCCCTCTGGCCTTGGTCTGGGATGGCAGTGACAATCTGAGCAGGCCTGCTGCTGCAGCTTCTCGCTGGCCTCCATTGTCGCGGCTCCCTCCCCAAGGCACCTTCTCTTCCTGCATTACCTTCGGGAGAGTCTCTCCAAAGCGCACCACCAGCTCTCCTTCGCTTCCCTCCTCGTTTTCTCCCTCCTGACTCTTGACAAAACCTGCCAGAGAATAAGAAGCCGGGTTTGCGGACCACAGAGCCAGGACCAGACAGAAAAGACACTAAGGGTCGCCTTTACTGGACCACAGACGACTGTCTCTTTCTTCTGAAGTCTCTAGGGCCTCAGCACCATTTAGGAATCTGGTTTGCTGGGGATTCTGTTTTTGTTCAAAGGATGGTCATTTGCCAACACAGTCTAATTATTTTTAGGAAAAATCAAAGAGATTCCCCCTCCTTTTTGACTCTTCTTTGCAACGTACCAGGCAACAAAGAAGTCATCTCACTGCAGGCAAGAAGATTGGGAAACATGACAGCTCATCCCACGCCACTCAAGATAGCAGCCTTTTGAAATTCTAATTTAAGTCTTCTAATATGCTGTTTCCATAGAAATCTATGCAAATGTCTCGATAGTTTATTTAAAACACCCGCACAAAACCCCTCATCCCTGTTGGAACTGTTTTGACCCTGCCTGCAGAGCTGGGGCTTCAGGATGTTGTGAAGGTGGTACTATCCCCAGGAAGGGCTGCGAAGGATTAGAGAAGGAGGGTGCAGAAGAGTAGAGGGGGCAGAATTCTGGCTGGCAGCACTGCTGGGCCCTAGAGGCAAGGTCCATGCCTGTTTGCAGAATCGGTTCATATCCTTCCCCCATTACTCCAGAGGCCATCCCAGGGAGAAGTAGAAAGCATGTAGTTCTCTTGCATGAAAGTCTCAGACAATATGCCTGGAGATGCATAGAAAGGATCCTTCATAAGCGCAGCGGGTGCTCAACATGGCCCCCTGAAATGCAACTGTCCATCCCTACCTTGCTTCCAGCCACAGTGAGCCCCACAACGAAAGTGCCATGATATGGAAACAGCAAGAGGGCCCAGGGCCACACAGGAAGGCAGCTGCAACTGTTTAGACCCTGTCTGATCTTCAGAGTTCTGGAGCTTTGCCCAGAGGTCTGTATACTAGTGGCTGCCCCTATCTCTAGGGCTGAGGCAGTGGAAGCACAGACCACAGGGGTGGAGAAGGAACCTCATAGTCACGGGATAGCCTCTTAGGTACCCCACCTGTAGCCTACTTCAGTGAACCCACTGAAGCCCATCCATGAATCCTCATCAGAGAGAAAGGAAATTGAATGAGGGATCGATCACTAATGAAAAGGTACTTATGTGAAAGAGTTGCCCTAAGGGTGGTTTACCAGTCACTTACTTTCTAAGCAGCTTGAGTGGAACTCCAAGTAGAACTTGGTCTGGGATTTGGTCTTCAGTGTGGCGTAGCACGCAAGGAACTCGATCTGCCCTTGGCTGTCCACAGTGCCAGGACCTGGAGAGTGCAGACCAGGGATTCATCTGTACACTGTACCTGGAGATGGAGGCTGCTCCCAGCTTCTCTCCAGCTTCTTTCCTCTGTGTCCACCCACCATGCTGGGCTCCCTCTAAGGGCCCAAGGATGGGGAACGTCCAGGCGGAAGGAGAGATTTTCCTTAAAGTAAACTTCATGACTCACCATGCAAGCTCAGCATCCCTGACGATGGCCACAGCCTCTCTGGTCTGTCACAGGCTGGCCATGTAGGGTGCGGAGCAGAAAGAGTAAGCACAGCAAGGACCCAAGGTCTAATCTCAGTTTTGCCAACAAATCTGTGTGGCCTCAGGCAACCCCTCAATCTCACCTGTAGCCTCCCTACTAACTAATTATTTCTCTTCCTTCTTTCCTTCCTTCCTTCCTTCCTTCTTTCCTTCTTTCCTTCCTTCCTTCCTTCCTTCCTTCCTTCCTTCCTTCCTTCCTCCCTCCCTCCCTCCCTCCCTCCCTTCCTTCCTTCTGCTAGATAGTCCAGGCTTGCCTGGAACTCACTATATGGGCAAGGCTGGCCTCAAACTCGTGATCCTCCTGCATCAAGCGCTCAACTGCTAGGGTTAAAGGCATGAGTCAACAGGCTCAGATTTCCCCACTAGTTCTGACAGAGTTTATACAGCCATTTAGCGGTTCACCACCCAAATCTGCTGTTTTGAGTCCACAGCTAGGGAGAGCTGCCCTTACTTCCTTGGCACAGTTATGCCCAGTCCTTGCTGTGGGCTCTTGGACTTGTTGGCCTTCAGCTAACATGCTCATAACTGTGTTGTTAATTTACACACCTCAAACTGGTTTTATCATGGGTTTTGTTTTGTAAGATGGGGTCTTATATATACCCCAAACTGGCCTTAAACTCACTAGGTGGCTAAGAATGGCACTGAACTTCTGAGCCTGTTGCCTCTGGATCCAAAGTGCTGGGACTCGAGGCGCGCACCACTACACTTGATCTTGAACTGGTTTTAAGCAAGTGTTCTGTCTTCCCATATAAATTCTTGTTTTGGTTTTTCGAGGCAGGGTTTCTCTGTGAAACAGTTCTGGCTATCCTGGAACTCACTCTGTAGACCAGGTTGGCCTCAAACTCACAGAGATCCACCTGCCTCTGCCTCCCAAGTGCTGGGAGTAAAGGCGTGCGCCACTGCTGCCGCTGCCGCCGCCGCCGCCACCACCACCACCTGGCCCCATATAAATTCTAAGCCACTTGAGAGTAACTCCACCATGCCTGTCAACCTTCCTTCTTTCCTTTCTTCTCTACCCCACAGCATCTTGGCCAGACTCTGCTTAGACAAATGTTCCATCACAGCTCAATACCGGTGACGATATTTTCCAGCATCTGCTGTGTACTGAGTCCCAGCAGAAGGAAAGCAAGCCTGAAAATGAAGCTGCTCTACCCAGTGACCGAGGGAGTGGTGACTGAGGCTGCTCTACCAATGCTGTAGACCTCAGAGAAAGGGGAGGTGGGTGTGAGCGGGAGGAGGCGGAGCCTAAAGGCTAGCAGGCGTGAAGACATGGGTGGAGAAGGGAGGTCACATCAGCCCACAGATGTTTGATCCAATGGTAGGAAGACAATGGTTTAGTCTCATCTAGGTCTCTCAGCACAGACAACACAGAGTGAGACAGTTATCCTCTACCTGTATTTGGGTCCCTCACACTCAGGATCCCTGTGGCACTGAAGTAAAGAGTGGGCAGAGAAGATGACAACATGGCTTCCTGACCACCTCAGACAGAGCTGGATGGACTTGTTAACAGGCCACAGCCCCCGTGTGCCAAGGGTAGCCTGGCAACCAGGGCTGGGCTGGGCAATTTGAAAACATAATGGCACCTCTGAACGTCAGTTTGTTCCAGTCTCAGGTCTCATTCATCTGCCTCCCACCTCCACAATTTTCACCATCTCAAACTACTACGCACCTCCACTAACACTGGCTTAATAGTTTCTTTAATTGGAGTCAGTTTTTAAACTTGGATGTAATTAAATAAAACATGCCACAATTGGAGGAAACTGAAACACTTGCTTATCCAGAAGAGACATATTTAAAACACACTAAAGTACATATATCATGAATAAACGTTCACCCATGTGTCCCCAGCCCAGAATCTTCTTTGGTGTTAGTCCATACCTTGGTAAACACCAATTTACAACCTCCCACTTTTAACTACACCAAAAGGAGTTTCAAAAGCAGGTTTTCTGGATTGAAACTGTGATGTGGCCTGGACATGAAGAGACCAGGTAGGCAGACTGTGGTCCTGTGGGAAGCAGGGGTCTATATCTAACATGGACATCTGGTAGTTGCAACCAGAGAGTAAATGCCCTAGGGCCCTTGTCTTTGAAGAAAACAAGGAAAGCTGGCACTGCCCACTGCTTACCATTCTTGGAGACAAATTGTGATGTGACTCCTGCTTCAAAAGTGGCAAAGACAGGGCTGTGGTCACTTGTCATGATGTCACTGGTACTGCCTGCAAGGGAGGGAAGTTATTTCTAAGCAGGGATGGAGAAGGCCAGCCAACCCCAGAACTGATCAATTACCTCAGTGTGGCCAGCTGACACCCAACAGCAGAAATGAGCTGTCCAGATTCAGTCCAGCCCAGAGGATTTCGAGCAAAGGCTTCAGTGTTTTAAGAACGGGGACTTAGGCATTTGTTTATGCAGCAATAGATGGCCTAATTACATTAACAGCTGGAGAAAACCCGGGCTCCAAGTCTTCCCCTTACGTTCTAGATACACACTCTTTTTTCTTTGCTTTCCTTCCTGGCCTCCTCCACCTCCAACTCCTTAAACCCTTCTACTGCGTCCTTTGGTACTCAATAGCCTATTAGCAAACTATTATGTCTTCAGCCTTCCATGTAAGTCGGTCTTCCTCTCTGGCCCTCACACACTGGGTGATGTGTGGGATATGTGCCCTCCTCAATCCCAGTTGCCACTTCCAGACCCATCTCCTTCCCCTTTCCTAAAACCTGTACTATGAGGCCAAGGTCAAAAGAGACAGGGGCAATTCTCTGAGCCTCTACCATCATTTGGCCCTCTGCAGAGGCAGCTGATTTGCCCGAGATAGCTGGCATGATCTTCAGAGTGAGACAGTTATCCTCTACCTGTATTTGGGTCCCTCACACTCAGGATCCCTGTGGCACTGAAGTAAAGAGTGGGCAGAGAAGATGACAACATGGCTTCCTGACCACCTAAGACAGAGCTGGATGGACTTGTTAACAGGCCATCCAGCTGAGAGGACCTCAGGGCTGGAGGACTTGGGGAGTAGGTATCCATATAATGGACTTGTGTATTTCTGGGAAGAGGGTCACAGGGCTGAAGAGCTCAGGTGTGACTGGGGTAGGGAGTCTGGGTAAAGGATGAGAAATGGGTACTTTCTGTCTTTTGTGTATTTTGTCTGGTTGGTTTGGGTAGCACTAGGATTGAAGCCGGGGCCTTTTGCATGGTAGGAAAATACTCCACTCCTGAGCTATATATAGCCTCTGTCCCACTTTCAGGTTCTGAAGGCAGAACAGTGCCTTGGCTGAAGCTGTGAGTGTAAGAGTGTAAGAGATGTAAGAGTGTGAGCTAAGAGTGTAAGAGATGTAAGAGTGTAAGAGATGTAAGAGTGTGAGCTAGGAGTATAAGAGATGTAAGAGTGTAAGAGATGTAAGAGTGTGAGCTAAGCGTGTAAGAGATGTAAGATTGTAAGAGATGTAAGAGTGTGAGCTAAGAGTGTAAGAGATGTAAGAGTGTAAGAGATGTAAGAATGTGAGCTAAGCGTGTAAGAGATATAAGAGTGTAAGAGATGTAAGAGTGTGAGCTAAGAGTGTAAGAGATGTAAGAGTGTAAGAGATGTAAGAGTGTGAGCTAAGCGTGTAAGAGATGTAAGAGTGTGAGCTAAGAGTGTAAGAGATGTAAGAGTGTAAGAGATGTAAGAGTGTAAGAGATGTAAGAGTGTGAGCTAAGAGTGTAAGAGATGAAGAGTGTAAGAGATGTAAGAGTGTGAGCTAAGCGTGTAAGAGATGTAAGAGTGTAAGAGATGTAAGAGTGTAAGAGATGTAAGAGTGTTAGCTAGGAGTGTAAGAGATGTAAGAGTGTAAGAGATGTAAGAGTGTGAGCTAAGAGTGTAAGAGATGTAAGAGTGTAAGAGATGTAAGAGTGTGAGCTAGGAGTGTAAGAGATGCTGCTGCGTTGCACATGTAAAGTTGCTGTAGGAAGGTCGTCTAGTGAGGTCAGTTCTGGGCAACACAGATCAAGAGAAGGATGTGTGTGTGTGTGTGTGTGTGTGTGTGTGTGTGTGTGTGTGATGCATATGCTAAACTAGCCCAGTGTGACGGTAGATATTAACAGATAAAGGGAACAGAAAGCAACTTCATCTGTGGAATCAGAGTTTAGCGGTCTCCAGAGAGGGTGGAACCATAAGGCAGCTTCCAGACAGTGGCAAAACTCCCCCAACCTATTTCCTTACTCAGAGGGGTGGGTAGGTATGAGGGCTCAGCTGAACAGGTATGGGTCATGAACTGCCCATCAGGGGTCTCTGGCTTGTGAATTGCTCATTCGTGGTGCATTGTGGGATGAGAGTTGAGTGCCATTGACTAGGCACTAGTCAAAGTGAATGTGCGTGTGTGCGCCTGTGTGTGTGTGTGTGTGTGTGTGCATGCGTGCGTGCGTGCGTGCATGTGTGTGTGTGTGTGTGTGTGTGTGTACAGATACCCCTGGAGGCTAGAAGAGGAAGGTGTATCTCTTGGAGCTGGAGTTATAGGTAGCTGCGGGCCATCTAGTGGGTGCTGGGAACCAACCTCAGGTCCTCTGGAATATCAGCAAGTGCTCTTAAGTGCTGGACCATATCTCTAGCCTCACAGTGAAATATTCTTAGGTCTCCCCAAATCCACATGAACACATTTAAGGATATCTATTAGGTTGAACCATCTGAATCCCTGGTAGTTGGCTGTTTTATACCTGCAAAAACATCGCTTTTATATATATTACTCAAACTCCATATGATTCTTCAAAAAAGAATAGTACCTGAAGATCCTATTTATGCTATTAGGGAAGACAAATATTCAGCAATCTTACCTATCTGTGAACCCCGTGAACCACAGTGACAACTGGCGTGGAAAGATATACCCACGGGTGCAGTAGTGGTGTAAATGTCGTGGGAGTAACCAACCTCTTTCTGACTGAATTTAAAACCCACCCCCCCAAGACAGAACTCATGTCTGTTACTGTTAACTGGGCCAAAAACCTGTGATTGGCTGGACCACATGCTTTAGGGGAGAACCTACTACTATTATTCTGCTAAATTATCATAGTATTATATTGTCCTTTAAGTATTATCTTTATATCCTTAGATTAGTACATTTCTTAGCCCTCATCAGAGAAGCTTCTTTTTGCAGTAATGACAACACAGAGACCCACAAGTAGTCAACATGCAGAGAAAAAGATTACAGAGTGCTCAGTTCTAAATGGGGCATATATATCACACCTACACCCTCTAAGGCTCAGGGATCATTGCAGAAGAGGGGGGTAGAAAGATTGTAAGAGTCAGAGGGAGTGGACAGATGCAGTGAAACATTTGTGAAATACGAGAGCAAACCAAAACAGCTATGACTGCATGTACAAGATCTACACAAGATCAAGCCATCCAAAATCCCAGCATGGATGGGGAGGGGCTCATGAAGTCCACCCCTAGCTGAGGAGCTACTGGCAATTGATGGCTACTGGGGGAGGGACAGGATATTTTCTTCAGGGATTTGGTCTCTAAAAGACTACCCATATTCCAGTAGATGCTCCTACACCCACACACATACAGACAGCACTAAGTAGACTGAGTGGGTTTAAAAAGAGAGAGAAAGAGTACATGAAATTGGGAGGGTAGAGAGCCGGGAGGGATAGGAGAGGGACTGGAGGGGAGGAAGTGGGGGTGGATTTGATCAGAATACTTATGACTGTATGAAATTCTCAATTAAAAGAAAAAAGAAAGAAGCTGCTTTTAGAAGTGCTTTATAAATTTGAATCTCTCTCTGAGCAGGGCTATTTATTGCATTGCAGGCCAAGAAGGACAGGGAGGTACCAATTCTTTCGGGATTCCTCATTGGGGCTCCAAGCACACTGAAGGCCCTCGCTTTGCCGCTGTCCTCAGAACCCCAAACCTAGTCTACATTCTCTAGTGCTCCACTCACCATAGGACTGGCAAACCACATGTACCAGGGGGTAAGACTTCCAGAGGACTCGGTCACACCAGGAGGGCAGGTTGTACTTCATCTGCAAAGCAACATCACTGTTTTATAGCAGGCATACTACTTCCTTTGTTATTAGTAAAAAACAAAAACTCCAATATTAACTGGGAAAATCTGCCATCCACAAATTCATCCATTGTTGGCTCTTTAGGGAACTTCCCTGCAGGTAGCCTTAAGCTATTTCAAATATATTTTCTGTGTGTGAGTGTTTTCTCTGCATATATGTATGTGCACCACATGGGTGCAGTGCCCACAGAGGTCAGAAAAGGGTGTTGGAGGCCCTGGAGTTGGAGTTACAATCGGTTGTGAGCAGCCATGTGAGTGCTGGGAACTGAGCTCAGGTTCTCTGCAAGATCATCCAGTGCTCTTAATGACTGAGCCATCTCAGCCCTCTATGCTATTTTGTAACTGTTTCTTCTTAGGGTAGCATACAAAACAATGGGTTTCACCGTGACGTTTTCATATATGTACCATCATACTTTGCCCACATTCGTCCCTTAGTGCCCTCTCTTCTTCCCCTTCCCCACCTCTTCTGGCTCCCTTCCTTCCCCCACATAGCCTCCTTTCTGCTTTGATGGCATATGTATCATATGTATGTGTGTTATATGTAAATAACATAAAAATATTTTTATATTTAAAAGTAGAAATAAGAATATATATTTAAATCTAAAATCTGCACATGAGAGAAAATGTGATATTTGCCTTTCTAAGTCTGCTTAATTCACTTAAGCTTTAAATTCTTCAACTCTTTAAACTCGACTTTGGGCTCCGCAGCTTCAGATGTCCTGGAGTGCTGCTCATGAATGAGGTTAATTCACCTTGCACCTGGACCCCTCTTCCTTCCTGCTAGAACCCTCCAAGCCTTCATTGTCTCCTCCCCCCAGGCCCAAGCAGTACCTAGATCTCATCCAGACAAGGCTCTGAGCCTTCTCTCTGCATCCTTAGCTTAAGCAGCTCTCTGTGCCCATCATCTGGTACTGCTTATCCCTGGACTCATCTAGGTTGATGGCCTTGGGTTGGACCCCATAAAAAGTGACCAATGTCCAGAACTTGTGCTTGGCTGGGCTCTCTCTAGTGGCTCCTTGAACTTGAAATGTGTAACCCCTCTCTCCCTTCATACCTCCCTGTCCATATTCCCGCTGCCCTTCAAGGCACCTCAGGTGGCATCTTTAAGAAGCCTCCCCATCCTTCCTGTCCGATGGTTGTCTCCTCCTCTGCCTGCTCCTTGTGACATCATGCTAACTATTGGGGTAGTCAGTTGCATGCTTGTCTTCTCTCTCCTCCTATAAACAGCCTGGGGCCAATGTTCTTTCAGTTCTGACCTCTCACCACCCAGGAGAATTCCTCACCCATCAGTAACTCTTTGAATAAATGAATATATTATTGCATCTTTCCCCAAACGCTGTTCCTTTCAATAGGAGTGGCCTTGTTAATATATTATAGTCACTCTGTGATTAGTTTAGTTAGACTTTACCTATGGAGAACTATAATGCTTGGAAGCTCTTATAGGTTCTGATAAGCCCTGTAGCAAAGAGACCAGTCTTGCTGGTGTTGTTTTGGAGTCTATCCATCTAGTCCAGGTTGGCCTTGAACCTATGATTTTTCTGCCTAAACTTCTCAAATATTGGGATTACAAGCATGCACCACCACACTCAGATGGATGGAAACCTGTTCAATCTCAGCTACAGAATTTGGGGGTGGGGGACTTCGTTTATTTTGGTCTTTTAAAATCAGTTTTACAGGGCTATACTGAGGGCTCAGTGGTTAAGAACTCTGGTTGATCCTGCAGAAGGCTCTGGGTTTGGTTCCCAGTACCTACAAGTCAGCTCACAAGCATTCATAACTCCCATTCCAGGGGATCCAACACCCTCTTCTGGCTTCTGTGGGCACTGCATGTATGCGATTCATACAGGCAAAACCACCCACCCACATAAAATAAAAATAAACAAATCTTTAAAACTAGCCTTTCTATACAGTTAACAACCAACACTTCAAAATTCTCTCAGCATCTTAGAATAGGATCATCACTAATTCAGCATTTTGTGTGTGCGAGTTGGTGGCAGTTTTTGCATGTGAAAGTTTTGTTTTTAGAGACAGTCTCATCAAGCCCAGAGTGGCCTCAAACTCACTATGTAGTCAGGGATGACCTTGGACTCCTGAGCCTCTTGCTTCCTCCATCTCCTGAGTAGTGGGATAAGAGGTTCATGGTACCATGCCTGGCTTGAGGCTGGAGACGGAATCCGGGGCTTTGTGCACACCAAGCAAGCACTCCTAACTGAGGTACATCCCCAGCCCCCGCAGGTGCATCCTAATTTCTGTTTTTGTTGCCGCCTGCTGATGGAGGATGTGTCCCACTTTCTAGGAACCACCATGGAATGGTGAGTTGGGCAAAGGAAGTGGGAGGGGCCGAGAGCTTACCCCTGTCGCTTTCTGCTTCGTGTAGGCATACTTGTCCCGAGTCATCCTTTCGAACCGGTAGGTGGGGGCGAAGGTGATCTCCTCCTCCTCTGAAACAGACACAGGCTCCCCAGTTTGGCTCCCCTCCTCTGCAGACACGGCCCCTCCCTGGCTAGGTCATCCAGGCAGAGAGAAGACAGTGGGGAGGGTGCAAAGGAGAGACAGTGTGCTCTCACCAAAGTGCAGGAAGACCTTCTGTTCCTTCCTCTCCAGGAGCAGTTGGTCATGGGCCAGCAGATCTGAATACTGCTGCTGCTTAATCTTCTGGATGATGGCCTCTGCCTCCTGGAATGCAGACACGCCAGGTCAGACCCCACTCCTCCCCACCCTCCCCACCGATCACACCAAGGCCTGGGCCCCAGCAGTGTCCCAATCGCTGTAAGAATAAGAAATGCCTGGAAAGGCTGTAACATCACCATAACTAGCTCCAGGCTAGCCCAAATTTGCACGTGGGATCTGTTGTTTTTGCATATTGGCCTTTAAACACCATTGTTAGTAACACTTCATGAGACAGGCAGAATGTTTCCTTTGCTTTCACTGGCTCTTTCTGTGAGAACAAGGGAGTCCAGCTGTAAACCCACAGGTGGGAGAGAATTCCTGGTTCGAAGGCCTTGAGCATCACCCTCCTTGAGACCCACTCAGCAAGAATTGGTGCCACACTGTGCGGTAGGGGCTGTGCTGGCCTTGGTGTCTAGCAGGCCTCCCTCCTGTCTACTTCTCTGTGACTTTGAACCAGGCGCTGGGCTCCTGCCCAGGTGAGTGTGGAGCTATGGCAACCCTTCCCCAGGAAGGTCAGGATGTGACCTTCTCACATCTTCTCATTCCTGCCTACTCACTCTCAGGGAGGAAAGATGTCACCTGGGGATCTCTGGTGAGGAAGGTGGCTGGCTGCAGACGCTCAGTCTACAGAGCTGTGATGGGGGCTGAAGGCCCAGAGATGGCTCAGGGACATGGGGTCCCATGGAGAAATGCTTGAGATAAAGGGACACCCGAGGTTCAACCACAACTACAAGTGATGCATCATCTCCTCTCAGCGGTCTCTCTGGCCTCTCTGTGTGCTTGATTGTAAAGCAGGGTCAGCTCCTGCTGTGTCCCTTTGTCCTCACAGGACTAGAGTGTGGGAATGCACTAAAGTCAGTCCCTCAGTGGGAGTGAAACAGGCTGCTAACTCCGACTTCTCGACAGAAGGACACTCACTGTTCCACACCACACTGTCTCCTGCTTCAACTTTTATGAGCAGGAAAAACAACTGTGTGGACTCTAGACTCATCCCGGGGTCACATCTGTTGGTCCCCTTCCTGTAGGCAGGCAAGCAATGCCTTAGACCCACTAATGATGCCATGGTTGGTTGAGATAAGTGAGCTGCTCCCCCATGATGCCTGTGCTTCCTCACCAAGCCAGGCTGCTGCTGGCTGCCTGGCAGACTGCAGGGACAGTGGCAGTGATGAGGGGTGGCCACTGAAGTCCTGGGGCAAAGTAGACCCAATCAGAAAGGAACTGTAAAGAAGGACAGAGGCTCGGCGACAGGAGCTGTAATGAGTCCCAGAGAGGAGCGGCTGCCTTAGCCTGCTTCTGAGTGTTCATGTGTCTCTTTGCTCGTCCGTCTGTCCTGAGCGGACTCTTGGGAGGCTCTGTCCCCGTACAGCTCCGCTCAAGGCGGATTCTCCTTACCCAGGTGGGCAGCTCCACACGGTAGTTGAGATCCCCAAGCCAGAAGAGGTGGGTGAAGCGGTGAGTGATGTTAAACGGGCTTAGCTTCTTGTCTCCCAGGGCCAGGAACCGCAGGATGTTCATATAGTTTTGGTTTCGCCTAATTCAGGGAAACAAGGGCCTTCTAGCATCCAGCACAGGTCCTCACTCTGCCGTGGCAGGAAGTCAGGGGTGACATGTGGGAAACAGACGTAGACTGCAGTTCTGTCTCAGTGGGCACCTGAGCGTACCTGGGAGACCCAAGTGGGATTATAGAGTCTAGATCCCAAGCAGGAATCTACCCATCAGGAAGTAGGATCAGTAAATGTACTAGAGGGCTATGGTCACAACAGGATTGCCTGCAGACAGAATGAGCTTTGAGCTACAGGATGTTCCTGAGGAGTGTTTTCCTTTAGAAATAGACCAGGTTTAAGGGACCTATTAGGTTAATGACATAAGTATCTTTTCTGTCCTCCAGACAAGAGTCACATATACCTGAGGTCTGTACTATGCTATAGTTGTCTTTGTTTAGACAACAGAGGCCCAGAAGGTCTGAGGCGGAGCAAGTCATCCGGGTGTGCAGAGGGCACGGGGCCATTACCTGAGTTTCTTTTCACTTCCGGAAGTCAAGTGGCTGTTGACAAACCCCAAGGAGGTTCCATTGAACATGAAGGACACCCCCACAGCTCCCTTGTTTCCTGAGGGAAGAAAGAAAAGAAGCAGAATGTCAACCAGGTAGGCTTGTCAAGGAGTCGTAAGTTGAGGTGAGGTAAAGGGCACTAACGCTGTTAAAAAAGAGTAAGAGAAGCAGACTGAGGAAAGAGGGGAAGGTAGACAGGTCACAAGGGGCGGGGCATGCCGGTGATGGACAGATGGTAGCAGCCTTGTGATTTTCTATATAGAACAGAGGAAGGAGGATGCTGCTGTCATCCATTTCTGGGTCTGAGATGTTGGGGGGGGGGTCACTGTACTGAGCAGATAGGGGACAGAGAGGAACATAGCAGCCTGAAAGCTTGGGACTTGGGGGGTGTACCCCCCGCTCCCAGCTAAGTAAACTGATTATCTACTCAGGGTCTCTAGTGAGATAAAAAACCTTCACACACACACACCCGTTTCTCTCTCCCTCCCTTCCTCCCTCCCCCCTTCTCACACACACACACACACACACACACACACACACACACACACACACACACCTTGCTCATGTTTTAATTTATTTTTATTTTACATTAGTGGTTTTTAAAGTATATTCCCTAGGTCAACACAGTAGCCTCAGGGAGTCCACTGGAGAGGCAGATACCAGATGCCTAAACCAGAGATTCTAGGGCTTAAAAATATGTGCTTGACAAACCCTAGAAGGCAAAGGGTTGGTAGACAGGGGCCATCACCAACCAAAATAGCATATATATCTTTTTTATTGGTGGGAGAGATATCTGTTTAATTTTCTTTTGGTGCTTGGGACCCAACCCTGGACCTTGCACACACTAAGCAAGCACTGTACCATGGGGTTCTGTACGGAGGATCAGATCTCGGGCCAATGACACTTTGGAAACCACCCGAGACTTACTAAGTCAGAACCCACATTTTAACCAGCTCTCCAGAGCTGGTATAGACCCTGGATGAGTTTTTGCAGGAGAAACCATTCCGATTTGCTAAAGACTACGGGAACCTAGGACAGGCCTCTCAGGGTTTAATCTGGGGACATTGCCAAGAGAAAGAAGAGGTGCAGCATGGGACTGGGACCCCCCTCTATGCTCACCCAGGGTGTTGGCGATGCCTGTCTTCACATTGTCAGTGCAGATGTGGCTGATCCGATTCTCATGCTCTGGCTTGGCAAGCACCACTATGCGAATGTTCCAGAGTGTGTGGATGGCGACCTGGTGGTGGTGGCGGCGGGAGATGATGTTGCAACATCGGGCTGGGGTTTAGTGTTGGAATCCTGAGAACCCCAAAGGGATTCACCCCAGCTCTCACCCCGAGAGTAAGATACCCTGTCTGTAATCCCTAGCTTTCAGGGGTAACTTCTAACGATGCCTAAGAGTGAGACAAAGTACCTCACAGATGAGACCTGGGGCTGAAGGTACTTCCAGGAAGCCAAGATTATTCTTTTAAGCAGGAGTGGGGAAGGTGGGGGACTCAGGACTCTATCAACTTCTGAGGATGGCACCTGGATGTATATCTTTTACTCTGAAAATGGGGGACCACTGAGCTCCTATACATCTTTGGAAGTATCTTGTCTGACTTTCTGAGATGCTTAGAAAAGCATATTGTCTTCCCCACCCAGGGCTGGGCCAGCAGCTCACTGTTTTAAATGTCATGCTGGTGACTTCTTGCAGGGAGTGCCTGAGTATCTCCAGCCACTCCTTCTCTCCAAGGGGGTCCTCCTGGGTGCCAATCACGTAGATGTCATGGGGGATATAATCAGCAGAGTCATCCCGCGTCTTTCCCTGCCCCTTGGAGAGAAACCAGGACGTGATCTTCTTGGGAGGGGGTGCGTTACCTTCAACAGCAAAACCCAACACCAAGTGAGTCAAAGGCATGTCAGGTCAAGGGCATCAGGGGGATTCAAAACAGTGGGGGGGGGGGAGGGGGGAGGATCATATAGTTACAAAAATCACTGAGACAAATGCCCTAGATGAAGAACTCAGTACTGAGATCACCTTACATGTCAGCGGTGGTCAGAGCTCAGTGAGATCTTGTTGTAAAGATACTGTTACATTCCCAAGAATGGAACACTGGGAGATCCTCTACAGAGCCCTGATCTAACTGAACGGGTGGCAAACATGTCCTGGGCTCTAGGGTGGCAGTAACACATGAGCTGTGGCCCTGCCTGTCACTCAGGAGTTTACAATTCTGATGGTGAGTGACATGTTCAGGATGGAGGCTTCTATCCCACTGCCAGGAAACACCAAAGGCTTCCCGGAAGGAAGTTCCGTTCAGCTAAGAACTGAGATGATGAGGTGCTCAGCAGAGAAACAGGAAGAGCATGCTATGTTCCTCAGCTTCTATTTTTAAAAATGAGTGGGAGCAGCTTCTCCAAGGAAGGATGGGAGGTCTACTTCTGGAGATGCCTTAAGGCTGGGTAGATAGATGTTCTCCCCATACTCCAAAGAGGTGTGTGTCTCTTGGCCAACAGAGAGACAGGAAGCCAAGAATCCGAATAACAATCGCTGCAAACTCTGCTTCCCAGGCTCTCAGTGACCACATATGGAGACCTTCCCATCCTGCCCATGTGCAGCAGGGCTCCAGCTTGCCCCACCCATGTGTCTTCTCCCGGAAGGGCACCCCTGCTCTGTACAGTGGAAAGACCCCACCGCGTCCAACCAAAAGAACTCTTTACAGGCAGACAAGAAAACTAGAAATTTCCCCATGTCACATGCATGAACCCTTGGGAGTGAGAGCCTAAGGAGTTAATAATAGTCTAAGATACCTGTTAAATTTGAATTTCTGGTAGATGGGTGATTTTTAGAATAAGTATTCCCCATGCAATGGTTGTCTGTCTAAGATTCAGATTTAACTGGACATCTTCTAACTATTTATTTCTAGATCAATATTTATACCAAAACATTATATAGTATAATTGACAATTAGTATAATGTACATATTTAATATAATATTATGTGATAATATATAAATATATAGTATATATATTTAGCCCAATATATATTTTGTATTTTAGTTTTTATTTCTAGCTGAGTACTTATACCAAATAATTATTTAAATATTTCACTTACATATTTATCATATGGAATATATTACCATATATTCAGCATATATATTTGCTGTTTATTTACTTCTAGCCACACACCTATGCTAAAAACTTATATATTATTTACACAGAATTTAAACTGAGGGCCATTTACCTATCTTCTATCCATCTACCCACCCATCCACCCATCTATCCATCCACTGATCATTCTATCTCTCCCCTTATCTCCTCCCTACATAAATCAGGGTCAGATGTCTTTCTTCAAGACCTGGGGTCCTTTGGCAAGCTACAGAGTTACCTATTGTGGCTACTCTTGGGGTGCACTAGTCCTAAAGCTCAGTACTTTTCTTGTTCATCATCATTGGACAAAGGTAGAATTCTCTAGAAAAGAGGTCGTACAGACGGGACCGAGACCAGGACTATGAACGAGAGATGGAGGCGCCCCCTTGTGCCATTTGCAGATGCTGAGGCAGGAAGGTGGACCCAAGCAAAACTGGTAGGAGGGAGGGGGCACAGGGACCCACCCATGTTCCAAGTGCCAATGAAGATGGTGATCATGTCGGGCTCCGGCTGCTCCGAATGCTTGTTCTTCATCTGCTGCAGCAGTTGGCAGAAGCCTTCTCTCTTCTGGAGGAGGAAGGGCAGACACACTGAGAAGGACCTCCACCTCCCTGCACATTGGCTTCTACAAAGGATGTGGTCAGCTTAAAAAACACTGAGGGGGCGTTTTATATATATATATATACATATACATACTTTATGTATGTATATATATATATGTGTGTATATATATGTGTGTGTATACACACACACACACACATATATATATACATACATATATATATATATATATATATATATATCTCAGACTGAGTTTTCTATATATCTCTGTAAACAAGAAGAGCAGCCACCTGGAGAGAGGTGTTGTTTCAAGTCATGAGCATGTGGCTTCTTGGACCCAGCCATTCTGCTGCAAGGGTGTGATTTGAAGCCAAAAATCAGAAGCTGCACCAAGATCCAAACACATCAGGGTACTGCAGCGTGTCCATAGGTAGGAGACTCAGATAATCATGTTGTACACCATTCCTAAGCTAGAACTCCATAGAGTTTTAAAATTATGGTACAGAAGTACCTTAGCCACAGAGAAGTGGCCATGATACAACATTAGTTATGAGAAGCTACTTGGTGAATACGGTCTGGGTGCCACCACTACACTATCATCTTAAGAAAAACATGCATGGGGCATGGGAATTCATGCCTTTAATCCCAGCACGTGGGAGATTGAGGTTACAAGGCTGCTGTGAGTTCAAGGTCAGCCTGTGCTATACAGTGAGTACCAGGCCAGACAGGGCTACATTGCAAAATCCTGTCTCAAAAAAGTCCAAACCAAAGCAAAACATAAAAACAAACAAAAAGCCCTTAAGACACCTGGAAGGGGATAGTCCAGAGTCAGTTAGTGGTGAGCGCTGCTTTTGTTTTAAACTTTTGTATTTGATACTTAAAAAAAAAAAACAATGAGACTGAATTACTTACGCAATAAAAGAAAATTTAAAGAAGCTAGGGCCAATGCAATGGCCTGGCAGGCAAAGGCGTTTGCTGTGGAGCTAAGTTCAATCCTTGGGACTCAGATGGTAGATAGAGAGAACCGACTTCTGTCCTCTGACCCCTACACATGCCCTGTGGCACGTGCAAGCCCCACCTCCAAGTACACAAATCCAACATTTTTTTAAAAAAGAAAATTTAACGAAACTAAGCAAAGACAAGAGAGTATACCAAGACAAAAGCCTCCCTAATCTTTTGCACGTATTTTTCCTGTGTTCACAGTGGGGCATGAAGCTGACTTTCCCTCTCTTAGTCAAGAGGGCTGTTGTCCATAGGGCAGCTGGTTTTAAATGAGAGGACACAAAATTTCAAGTAGTGCAACAGGAAAGGCCGGATGCCTGGTGTCCCTGGTTACAAAGCCAGCAATTTTATATGATTCAGCCTCATGGCTGCGACTCTCATGACTGCCCACTCCAGAACCCAGCTCATCAAGACATAACCGCGGCTTCTTTACTGAAGCCTGTCTTTAGCTGAGGCTGGCAAGGGTCGGTGTCTCAGCCCTTTCCACTGGGCTGCCACTGGGCAGAAGTAACTAGTTTTGGACCTGTGCTCCTGAAGTCCAGAACACTGCCCAGCTGTGTGACCTCTCTCTACTTCCTGTCATCTGTCTGCATTCCCTCTCCACTGTTCCTGTCAGCCCATGCCTGCCGCCATTCCCTCATACTCACCCCCAGGCCAGGTGAAAGCAGATGCCTGGGGAACTTGGCGGGAGTTACCTCCGTAAGACTGTACTAGGAGCCCCTCCTCCCCCAATAGCTTGTCTATATCTGACATGCGGGGTCAGCCACACGTCAGGATACACACACTCTCTGATCTGCCATCCATTTTCCATGCCTCATATAAATGGTACTGATGAGCATGGCCAGCAGAGCCTCTGTGTGGGATTCAGACCATTTGGGGTGACTTCTGAAGTGAGCAATCAGAGGACAGAGAACCACATCCAGGGGTTTTCTCCTGGCCCATAGTGCCTCTTCCTCTGTCGGCCATGATGGCAGAGGAACCTTACTTCCGCAGAGCGGGGCAGAGTTTCAAAACAGAAGTCCTCAGAAGGAAGTATCGGCCAGGACTCAGATTTAAATCCAAAGCTGGCCCAAAGGGCTCCTAAATCTAGCCAAGAGACACCATTTCTAGAAGCCTCCTGGCCAGCTCAGCACTGGGCATGAGCCGGGGTGCCTTCTCTCAGCTGGAAGGCAGCACTCGTGATCCTGGGACGGCGGAACTAGAACCAGCTGGCCCAGAGCCTGACCACCTAAGCTCAGCTTCCTGGCGGTGAAAAGGGAGCTCTGCAACCCAGGGAGCTAATGACTGCACCCCCTGGCACATCGCCGTCCTCCAGACACGTGTCCCTTCTTGCCCTCCATTAGATATCTATTGTCACTTACTTTAGAGTCAGAAAAAACGTATTCCTTCCTCAGGATTTTCTCCTTCTCTGTCTCCACCAAAATCACCAGCTTGTTCAGAAACTTCTGGGACTTGATGAGCTGCAGGACTTCAGAAAACCAGAGGTTCATTGAGTTATCATCTGCTCCTTCAACATGTCCAGTGTCCACTGCATTCTAGGCACCAACCCTCGACCTGACCCTCACATACCGGGCTGAGCCCTAGGGGTACATCTTGAGAAGTGTGGTACCCACAACTGTCTAGAAGTGGCTTCACTACACAGACTGTGTGACTGTCCATCCTTGATCTTTCTCTCTACATGCCACTCTGCTTCCCCGGCTCCTGTCTGTTTCGCTTCATTTGTGAAAAACTCACATAAAAGTTGTAGTTTTCATTTCTTATCAAAAGTTGAAGGGCTAGGGAGGTAGCTCAGCAGTTAAGAACATATACTGCTCTTTCAGAGGACCTGAGTTCAATTCCCAGCGCCCACATCAGGCAGCTCACAACCATCTGTAATTCCAGTTTCAGGGGGATCTGACTCCTCTGGTCTCTTGGGGGCATCTGCACTCTTATACACAGACACACACACACACACACACACACACACACACACACACACACACACACACACACAATTGAAAATAATAAAGATAAAATTAAAAATGAGCAAGGCAGTGGTGGTGCATGCCTTTAATCTCAGCACCTGGGAGGCAGAGACTGATGGATCTCTGAGCTTGAGGCGAGCCTGGTCTACAGAGAGAGTTCCAGAACAGTCATGGCTACACTCAAAAAAACAAAAAAACAAAAAAAAGAAAGGAAAAGAAAAAAGAAAGAAAAAGAATTAAATCATTCCATATTTTTTCCCCTTTAGTTAATAGTACCTTTCCTCTCCACCTTCCTCCAATGTCCTGCCCCCTAAAGGCAGTTAATTTCAAGTTTCTCAATTAACTCTTTGGAAATTTATCATTTAACATTTCTTGCTTCTTTTTAATTTTAATTTTTTAATTTTATGTGTGTGGTTATTTTGCCTGCTTATATATCTGTGAACCACATACATACAGTACCCCTGGAGACCAGAAGGGGGCATTAGATTCGCCCCCCCAACCCTGCTTGATCAGAGTTACAGATGGTTGTTAGCCATCATTTGGGTTCTGGGAATTGAATCCAGATCCTCTGCAAGAACAACAAGTGCTCTTAACCCCCGAGCTAACTCTCCAGCCCCCATCCCATGTTTAAAAAAAAAAAAAATCCTCAGCGTCCTGATCTTGAGGTTTCATTTGAAAATATTTTCTAGGGTCAGGAGATGGCCCAGTGAGTAAAATCATTTGCCTTGGTTCCTGAATTCCAATCTCAAGAACTAAGAAAAATCTAGATTCAGTAGCACGCTGTATTCCTCCAGGGAGATGGGAGGTGGAGACAGAATTACCTAGAAACTCTGGAGCCAGCCAGGAGTATGCACAAAGCGGCAGAAATGAGGTAGAAGGCAAGACTGACTCCTGGAAGCTGTCCTCTGACCTCCACACAGCACACAGCCACAGCTCATGCCCACACTCATGCATACCACACACACACACCATACACACATACACAACACAGGAAAGATTTCCTATTACATATTAGCTTTCTACTGCAGAAGATGAAGGTTTAGTTGTTTTTGGTTTTGGTTTTTTGTCGACACATACAACTTTGTACTCCCCTCTAACCCCCTACTGAACATAATTTCAGTTTCCCCATCATCTTTCCAACACCATATTTTTACTAAACACTCAATGCTATGTCACCGTGACTATGACGAGGCTCCTGACAGACTAGCCCCCAGTCTTTTCCTTTGCTCTTCTTTTCCTGAGTGGGGCTCAAGAACTCCCACTCTTAGCTGAGGAACTATTGACAGGCAGCTGCTCGTGGGGAGAGAGCCAATTTTCTTTATGGGTATGGCCCCGGGTAGGCACCAAGACTCAGGGGATGGTCTCACTCCCATGAGCGCATGGGCAGCACCAACTGGACTGAGTCAGTCAGAGGCCATGAAGTTGGGAGGAGGGCTGGGTGGGGGTGGATCTAAGAGGCGTTAGGGGAGGAGTGTGGGGTGAATATAATCAAAATACATTGTAGACATGTATGAAATTCTCAAGGAATAAAAGCACTGTGTGAAGCTTTTCCTGGGTTTTTGTAATTGTACAATTGCCCTGCTCTTTTCTTTTTTGATGGTGCTGCGGGTCACGCTGCACACTGAGCTACCGTCCTAACCCTGGGCTATGTGCTTTCCTCGACTTGAATTCTCCTTCCCTTTGTTAACACTCATTCCCACGTGACTAAGCACTGCTCTGCTGTCTGTGCCCTGCGTCTAAGCACTTTCCCAGAACCTCTAGGTCTGGTGACTTCGAGGCCTGATGAGAACCTGCCTTTTTCAGTACCCTGGAATCTACTCCTTCGTCCCTCTTGTGGGACCTCCTTCTCACGTTCCATGTCATCCTCTTTCTTTGTTTACGTCTTCATTTTGACACAGTAACCTCCCCAGTAGCTTTCTAAGAACTATTTTCTAAGAACTGTCTGCCTTTTAAATTAGCATACATTAACATATCCATTCGTTGTAACATCTTCATTCACACACATGATGTACTTAGATCATTACATAGTTGCTCCATGTGGCCTTCCTCTGTACTCCACCTTGGTCCCCTTTTCCCTTAGTAGCCCTCTCTGCCCCTCTCTGTCACTGTCTCTCTCTCTTTCTCTATCTCCTTCCTTCCCCCTCCCTCTCTTTCTCATCTCTAGTTCCATCCATTTTCCTATAAATGGTATCTCATGGTTCTTTATGGCTGAGTAATATCCATTCCATCACGTACAGGAACATTTTCTTCATTGGCTGATGGGCACCAAGGCCAATTCCATAACTTGGCTATGATGAACGTGGCTATAATAAACACAGGTGTGCAGCTATCACTGTGATATCAATCCGCTGTCAGATGAACGGCTGGCCAAGACTTCCCCCCATTCTGTAGGCTGCCTCTTCGCTCTGTTAACTGGCTCCCTTGCTGGCCAGAAGTACTTTAGTTTCATAGACTCCCATTTGTCAATTTTTGCTGTTTCCTGAGCTACTGGAGTTCTTTTGGGGGAAGTCCTTACCTGCAGCTAGGCCTAGTGACTGACACCATAATACCAGCCCTTGGGAGGTGAAGGAGAGGATGAGGAGTGAGTGCCTGGGCCCCATGAGGCTGTCTATTTGCATATTGGCCTGTTTTTCCTATTTTCCTCTAGCACTTGCCTGACATGCGTAGGACCTTGTGATCCTCATGACTGCAAAACTAACCAACCAACCAACCAACCAACCACCTCGAGCACAGTCTCTAATCAGGTAGACTTGTCACAGCTAATAGAGGTGGAGGGTTGAGTATGACCTCTATGACTCCAGCGGGAAAGAGTCTAGAACAGTGGTTCTCAACCTGTGGGTCGCGACCCCTCTAGGACTCAAACAACCTGTTCATAGGTTGCCCAAGATCATTGGAAAACACAATATTCACATTATGATCCATAACAGCAGCAAAATTATAGTTATGAAGTAGCAACAAAAATAATTTTATGGTTGGGGGTCACCACAACCTGAGGGACTGTATTAAAGGCTCACAGCGTTAGGAAGGTTGAGAACCACTCTCTAGAGGCGTGTGAAGACCTCCAGACTTCTCCTCATGTGCTTTTCTCTCCTGTTGAGTTTTCTTTGTATCCTTTCAATTTAATAAGTCCTATCCAGAATGGGGTCCCCCGTTGAGTCTTGGGGGTTCTCCGCGCACCCACAGAAGCTGGGGAATCTCCAATGTATTCTATTCTACCTCACTCGGGAAGTTCTAGGGCCTTTCCTTAGAACTCAATGTTGGGAGGCTCCCCAATGCCGGAGGTGCCTTCTCTGTTGTGCTGAACACTCAGGGCATTCTCAGCCTGGACATGTGTGTTATTCGGTGACATGCTTTTCTGGGGTCTTCGATGAGTTTTTTATAGTGGCATTCCTGCTGAGCTGCACCTGGCCTGGCTCCAGGGAGTAGCATCTAGCCCTAACCCACCTTTTGTTTAGCAGACACCTTTTGTTTCCCTTGCTGCCCTCCATGTGAATCTTGTCTGGACTTTCCCAAGGATACAAAGGCATGTGCAAAACTTGATTCAGGAAACTCGGAAAACCTGGTACCTGAGAAATCGAGGAATTTGCACTTGGCATTGTGTTGTTGGGAGCCCCTTTCAGGGTGTTTTGAGCATGTGGAAATTAACTGGCTAAACCATATTGGAGAGAAATAAAACTGCCCTAGGCGAAGGGTTAGTGCTTCAGTCCTTCAAGGCTGAACCCCCCTGCAGCCATGTTAGGCTAAATTCATTCTTATGCCTCTGTGTCTTCATTCCACGGACCCGCGTAAACCCACATACTCGTGTAGCGACCATACAGCTACAAGTTTTTCTCTTTCTCCTCGTTTTTTTACTAACACTTGTGGGGGTGAAGTCCCTGGGCTGGTGCATCAGTTAGAAAAGCACACTATGTACAATGGCGTGTGTCAGGAGACTGAGTGAGGAACACCGCCATCGGTCAAGTTTGAGGCCAGCCTGAATGCATAGTGAGTTCCAGGCTAGCCCGGGCTAGCCCAGGCTAGCCCAGAGTCATTAGACTCTGCCTCAGAAGATGAAAACAAAACGAACCCACCTATGAGATCCTCCCTCGAATTTACCTTTTTACTTTTTCAATGTTTTCATTCTATTTTTGGCAGGACTGGGGGCCTCATACACGAGAGACAAGCACTCTACATTCTCTGGCCCTTTAAATTTTTTATTTTAAAAATCTATTTCTTTTTGGATTTTTGAAACAAGGTTGTATACAGCCGAGGCTGGCTTGAACTCCTGATCCTCCTGCCTCTGACCCTTGTGCTGTGCTGAGTGGTTCTTCCTTTTTCTTTCCTCTTTCTGTTAATTTAAAATTTTTAATTAAAATTTCTGGTTTTTTTTCCTTTGAGACAGGATCTCTCTATGTAGTCCTGACTATCCTTGAATTCTCTACATAGACACGCCTGTCCTCAAACTCACAGGGATTTATCTGTCTCTGCCTCCCAAATGTTGGGATTAAAGGCATTTAACACCACTCCTAGCTTTAATTAATTAATTTTTTAAAAAAAATTTCAAGACAAGGTCTCTCTGTGTAGCCCTGGCTGTCCTGGAACTTGCTCTGTAGACCGGCTGGCCTTGAACTCAGAGATCCACCCACTTCTGCCTCCTGAGTGCTGGGATTAAAGTCATGTGCCACTACCACACAGCTAATTTAAATTTTTATGTAATGTGTATGAGTGTTTTGCCTGTATGTATCTGTGCACCAAATGTATGCAAAGCCCATTTGGTTTGGTAGCAGAAGAGGGCACTTGGTCCCCCAGAACTGGGGTCACAGATGATTGAGAGCTGTCACGTTTATGCTGGAACCAAACCTAGGTCTCCTGAAAGAACAGCAGTGCTCTTGGCTGCTGAGCCCTCCCTCCAGCTTATTTCATAGTCTTACGTCCTTATCTCCAATCTCCTTTTACCCATGTAACTCATCCCCTCGTGTGTTTCGTCTTTTCATTCATTTTTGTCAATTGTCCCATGCTCCCTTCATAGCTGCAAGCTCAGAAGAATAAAGACACCAAATCTTGAGCCATTTCCAACTAAAGATAGGTTTTGGTGAAGAAGCCACCATTACATTTTTGTAAGCTGAAGAGGAGATGACTGAGATTTGCAATTTTGAGGTTGAATTATGAAATTTCTGGTTTCTGTAGGGTCTGCAATAGTCAGCATTGGTCCTTTCATATGACACAAGATGAAACGGTGTGTACCGTCGTTTAGAGTGTAGGCAGGAGAGGCTCAGTGGTTAAGAGAATATCTATGTCTGCAGAGGATACGAGCTTGCTTGCCAGCACCTATGTTTACAACAGCACCTATGTTTACAACAGTCTGTGACTCCACTCTAGGGAATCTGAAGCCACACACACACACACACACACACACACACACACACACGTAAGTTTATAAAAAGGAAAGTGCAAGCTTCCCAGATGATGAGATTGTAGACGTGTACCACAACATCCAGCTTGCACTATTACTGTTGTTAATTAATTAATTAATTAATTAATTAATTAATTAATTAATTAATCAATTTTTTGAGACAAGGTCTCATTATGCAGCCCTGACTGGCCCAAGGCTCACTGTGTAGATTACACTGGCCTCGAATTCATGAAGAGCCGCCTGCTCTGCCTCCTAAGCACTGGGATTAAGAGGCTGTACCACCATACGCAGCCTCACACGATGACTTTGAACAGCATCTGGGAGGGTACAGTCCAAGGTCATCTGGCAACGTAGGATTTTGTTTGAAACATTAGCTTATTTGTATTTTCTGCTTTCTTGAAACCAATGAGATAGAGATTACATATGGAATGCAGGTGGTGTCAGGAGCATCGGGAATTCTAGATCAACCTTAGCTACACAGTGAATTCAAAACTAGCTTAGAAAACATGAGCCTCTGTTTCAAAAAAAAAAAAAAAACCCAACCAACCAAATAAAATAAAACAACCACAGAAAGGAAGCCTCTCTCTCTTCCTCCTCTCTCTTCCTCCTCTCTCTCACATTTTCCTTTTGTTTATTTATTTTGATTGACATAGGAAGCTACATAAACATAACAGCATACAGGAGGCTCTGAAACACGGGTGCAGTGTGGAATGGGCGTCTCTGTCCAAGGAGCATGGGCAGTAAATCACATAACAGTGGCCACAGCACTTAGCACCGAAACCCAGTTCTCAGCACTTCTCAGGAGTTCAGTGTGACCTCATTAGCTGTCATGGGTGACCCTGCTGCAATGGATCTCTTGACCTACTCTCCTTGCACAAACTTATCTAAGTGGCACGCACTTATCTAAGCCGGCCGCTTATGGCACAGGCTTCCTGCTCAAACCATCTGCCACTCCCCAGCTGGACGCGGTAAGGCAGAGCCCTGGCCTGATGCTGTGAGCTCAACTCTGGTGGCAGCTTCTTACTCCAGAGTCCAGAGACCCTCCTTCCAAATTCATCCTCCCACCCTCCACCCCCATTCCACTCTGTCCTTAGAGCAGCATGGTAAGGATCCTTGTCAGTGTCGCCGCTGGCAGCAGCCAATGCACCAAGCACCCTCTCCACGCCAGGCACCACATGTTTTGATCATCATCCTTTTAACCCTTGTAGCAGCGCTGCAAGATGCAATGGAGGAGCAGAGAAAAGGCACCAATACTGCTTGTGGTATTTATTGATGGGTCTGAGGACCCAGGACCCCAAAACATAGCACCTTGACAGAAGGGATGGGGAGGCAGAAAGGACTTTCTAGTCTGTCTTTGAGCTGGTGATAAAGCCCTCATGTGACAAGTATGCTGTCCATACCTAGAGGGAAGGACTCCTACTGCCAAGGACAAAGGAGGCTGAGAGGAATCTGAGCTCCCAGGCCTGGCCAAGCTCCTCCCACTGCCCTAACTTCCAGCCCCTCTGTGCTGACAGTCTCCAGCTCCCCACTCCTCCCAAACCTGCCTGCAACACTCTGCTCAGCCATCCTCCCAGTCCCGGTTTCCCTGGGAGGGCTTCCACGTCACATGAGACTCACATGTGAGCATTCCGTTCCCCTTCCTCTTGGTAATCGGTCCTGGCTTCTGCCAAGAACTTAAGATGCAAGAGGGAAAAAGAGACCTTTTCCTCCCCAGTACTATCCTGGCCCTTCCCTGGCTGTACCCTACCCCTGACAGGGCCAGTGCCCAGGAGGGGCTCAGGAGAGGAGGCGCAGGGTCAACAGGCCCTGTCCTCAGCCCCTGCTTGGACATTCTCCCGTTCAGTGCAGAGCAGTGGGGAGCTGTGCAAATCGCCCTCATAAGCATGAATTCATGGCTTCTCACGCAGTCTCCACGTGGCATCCACTGTCATCATTCCCATTTTACAGACAGGCTGGAGGCACAGAGAGGTTAAGAGGCTGATGTGGCACAGCTGGCCAGAGGTAGAGCCTGGATTTGAAGGTGGGCAGTCAAAACCCCATATTGTGGTGATGAACATTCACCCTCAGAACCACCTGTGGCTCTAACTCAGCAGCACCAGCGTCTAGCCTGAAACTTCTTGCTTGGGAGTTTTTCCAGAGTCCTCTTCATGAGATACCTATCTTGCCTGGGAGGCTAGGGCATCCAAACCCCCCTTCCTTGCCCTCCAGTTCTGTTCCCACAGCACCCCCGGCCCATTTCCGCTCACCTTCAATACCCTGTGTCTTTCCACCTCGTGGTGTTTGCCCTCTCTGAAGACTCTTCCCTCAGTCCCCTGACGCTGCACAACCTGAGTTCTCAGCTCATACAACCTGAGGTCTCAGCTCACACGCTCATTGCTTAAAAGGGCCAGCCTCCTGCCTGCTTCCTAAACCATTCCTTCTTCCCAAAGGACCTCTACATATCATGCTGTTCTGTTTTCTTCAAAGCTTCCAAGTAGCTGAAACCACCGGGTCAATAGATTTATCTGAGTATTTATTCACCCTTAACGCACCAGAATACAAATTTCACGTGGGCAGGGACCATATGGGTCTCTTGCTGCCCTGGATACTGCTCTGCCCACAGCGGCTTCTCCATCAAGCTGTTGTGGGGATCATTCTCACTGTGTGCATAAATACTGGACAGTGTGACATCCGGAGCAGCCGTGTTTCAGCCGTGCCCATGGGAACAGCTGGTCTGAGAGAGGCTAGGTGCTGGGCTGTAACCCACGCATAGTTTGCTCAATCTTTCTCATCCCTGAGAACCAGAATCAGAAGCTGAGAGAGGTGGGTCAAGGTCCCTAGCTTCTGAGTGACAGAGCTGGGATGGGAATTTGGACCTTTTAGACACAGAGTTCATATACTTCAGTTCCCGAGGGTTAGAGCTTTGCTAAGGGTGCCAGCCCAGCAGCTCTCCCAGCCACACCATCAGTGCAGGGCCTGTTCCAGCACAGGGAGGTGACTGCATGCTTGTAGGGAAGAGGTGAAGTCACACACAGAGACATGAAATCCCTACGTATTCACACAGGACTACTATGGGACAGCTGTGACAAGTAATTCATTTATAAACTCATTCCCAGAGGTATTGGCAGAGTATGCAGGGGAGACCCCTGAAGTGTGTCCTGATAGCAGGAAGAGAGACACTTGGAGAACACTCAGGGACAGGGACCACTCTCAAAAATGGGGGAGGGAAACTGCTTTTGCTGACAGTTGCTGTGGAGCCCATAGGCTCATATATTTGAATGCTTGCTTCCCAGGCGGTGGAACTGTTTAGGAAGACTTAGGAGGTGTGGTCTTGTTGGGGGAGGTGTGGCAGTGGGGGGTAGGCTTTGGGCATCCCTAATTAGCCCTCTCTCTGCTTGTGAATCAAGATGTAGGTAGGCTCTCAGCTACTGATCCAGTGCCATGCTTGCCCGCCTGCTGCCATGCTCCCCATCATGATGGTCACAGACTCTAACTCTGGAAGCATGAACCTCACATCTAACGTTTTATTTTGTAAGTTGTCTTGGCTGTGGTGTTTCTGTCACAGCAGGAGAAAAGTAACTAAGACACTTGTTGTTGGCCAGAGTTCCCACACAGAACCAGAACATGGGGTGTGTGTTGAGGGGTTGGGGTGGGATGGGGAGCGGGTGGCTTACTTTTTTTGTGGCTGTAGAACTTGTCCTCGGAGCCATCCTTGGATTTCTTAATGATGAGTTTCCCAGACTCGACGTCCACTTTGAGATGCATTTTCTGAGGAATCCCCAGGGACTCTGACTTCACCTTGGGAGTGTGAGAGATGCAGTCAGTGGTTGGGCTTTGGGGATGCCAACTCTGAACCATTTGTCTACATGGCTGGGGAACCCTGGGTCAGTGTCCTAGGTCGGGCTATCTAGCTCTTAGGTCTAGGCCTTCCTCACCCTGGCCTGGCACACGCGATTCCCACAACACCCCTGGATTCCACAGCATGTCTGAAAATGGCTCACACTGAAGCTGAGCCAGCCTCGCCCATTGTGCAACCCAGCTGTCCCACCAACAGATCCGGTGGAGGAAACAGATGAACTGCTGGGAAATGGTTCATTCATGGATTAGTTTGACAACAGTTATTAATCTGATGTGTCATCTACTTCTGGGAAGAATCTTACTAATAGATTCACACTCTGGGGCCTTGTTACAACCACTAATTGAGCATCTACCAATAATAATCACGAAGAAGACACTTGCCTGGGCATGTTCAGAAAATGAGAAATCCAGGCTGAGCGTGGGGGCACATTTAGGTGGAGGCAAGAGGAGGCTGGGTGGGGCCCTATCTCAAACAAACAAACAAACAAACAAACAAACAGGAGTGACAGAGGAGTCGGCAAGATGGTTTTGTGGGTAAAGGAGCCTGCCACCAAGCCTGGTGACTTGGAGTCAATCTTTGAGACTCACATGGTGGAAGGAGAGAACTCATTCTTGCAAGCTGCCCTCTGACCTCCACATTCTCTCCCCGCCCCCCCCACACTAAATAAATAAATTAATTAATAAATAAATAAATAAATAAAATAAAAGTAAAATTTAAAAAACAAGGTGGAGGAAGAAAATGGAAATCTGTCTGTTGTGGGATTACTTTCAGGGATAAGGAGGGCTTTGGGGTGGCTAGTAGGGTATCTCATGAAGGTGGGACTATGTTGGGCAGGAAGCACCAGGATTATTGGGGTCCATAAAGAAAATACACCTTTCTGGGTCTCAGCCAGTCATTTTTAAGGAAATCACAAGAATTATTTTCTCTAACTGTCCCCTCCCCCAGACACTGTTTTATAAGCATTCTGAGACCCTCAGCTTAATGTTACTCCTCCTTCCCATTTTAGGGGTGACAAAGTTTAAACCGTCTTGGGACCAGTGAGGAGCTCTTTCTCTACAGGCTCCCCATAAAGGGGCTTCGCTGATACATTCAGGCAGCCATTTTAACGTTTGTCCACTTTCCCAATGAGCTACTGTTCTCTGTCACTGAGTTCCGTGTCCTTCTATGGTCCAAGTCAAAAGCTTCTTTTCACAGGAAACCCAGTGGCCCCCAAGGGTGGTAGCTCTCCAGGTCAGGCTCCACTCCTCCAGAGTCAGCTTACCTCAAAGGTGACCGGAGGGATGAGGGAACGCCTGTTGGGAGACTCAGAGCCCTCGTGCAGCAAGGCCTTGACCTGCGGACAGCAGTGATAAGTCAGAGTCACAGGAATGCAGAACCTGGGACCTGGACACTCTTGGTGCAAGGAGGGGACTACAGAAAAATCAAGAGGTGCCGTGGTACCCCTGGGAGTACCTTGTCTTCAATGGAAGACAGGAGACTTGTCAATTGGCTGAGCTTGGCCACCATGGTGATGGGGTTGGGTTCACTGGGCACCTAGGAAATCAAAATGAGAACAAATGAGGTTTGGCTGACCATGAGCTGTGGGGTGGGCAATGGACACTTCCCATGCTGCTCCTCGTTCCGTCTCCCACCCCCCCAGCACCCCTGTTTGAAGACAAGGACACTGTGGTATATATAAGCACCCCAAATTCTTCGTGGCCAAAAAATAGCTCTTCAATTCTTCTCTTTAACTCTACCTCACCCACAGTGCTTCTCACCCCACCTACACAGTCCTTAAAACTCTGGGGCCGTCCTTGATCATCACCTTCCCGGCCTCCTACGTCGCCTGAGCCTGTTTTCCTGCTCTACTTCCAAAATGTACCCATCCCCACTGCCTAAGCCCTCGCTGGCTGCTTCCCACGGCAGGCAGAACCGCACGCAAGCTCCACACCCTGACTCTGAAGGTGCTGCAGGCTCAGATGCTCCACTCTGAACCCCCCCCTCCTCCTCCTCCTCCTCCTCCTCCTCCTTGCTTCCGGTCTGCCTTGAGCTCTACTTGCTAAGGAATACCCAGAGGCTTGGATCTCATCTGGGAAGGGCATCTTGCCATCCAGATCTCAGATCCACAAAGAGTCCCTCCCCGACTACCACAGCTCAAACAGCTCCCCGGCTGTCATGGTCAAATCACCCTGCTGCGGTCCGTATCAGTCACTGTGGGATGAAGCTGTTGCTTTCAACTGTGGCTTTGGTGTATGATGCCCTTGCTGGAATGTGGGCTCCAGGAGGATGGAGACCAAAGGCACAGTGTTCAGTGTCTGCAACACTGATGCCTGACCAATAAAGATGCTCAACAGACCTGTTTAGTGAACACTGGAACCCAAAAGCCTACAGTCGCTTGTCCAAAGACACATAGCTAATAAACGGCAGACTGGGTCTGGTACCCATGTATGCTGGGCCTGGCTCCAAGCATTTATTTTTAGAATAGACATTTGCAAGGCTGAGGCATGAACTGCATGAGTGAGGTCCAATTTCAAGTCCAAGCATTGAAAAAAGAAAAGCCAAAACAAAGCTAAGTGCTGCAACATCTCTTTTACCCCGGACGTGCTCCCCTGCTGGAGAGACGGAGTTGACAAGGTACTGCCGCTGCCTTCGGGAGTAGGATGGACACCCAGACCTGTGTGTGACTAACTCGAACCCTTGAGAGCTCATGCTCTCAGCCAGGCTACACTGGCTTTTGATTTGTTTTGTCTTCTGTTTGCTTGAGACAGGGTCTAGAGATACAGCCCAGTCAGCCTTCAGCTTCCAATCTTCCTTTCTTAGTGTCCTCTAAGCTGGGCTTAGAGGTCTGTGCCATCAAACCTGTCTTTCCCTGTGTAGCCCTGGCTGTCCTGGAACTCATTCTGTAGACCAGGCTGGTCTCGAACTCACAGAGATGCTCCTGCCTCCCACCCTTGCCCCCCAACCCCGGAATGCTGGGATTAAAGGTATATGCCACCTCTGCTCTGTTCCCCACTGTGCAGGGTAGGACATTATTGCATGTTCAAGGAACAAGCCAGCGGGGACAAGACTGAACACAGGCCCCGGGGGCCAGTCTTCTATCCTCTACCCCTGTATCAGGTCACTCCTCTGGACTGTAAGGTCTGAGGGCCTATCAAGACAGATATTCTTGGGGCTGACAGATGGTCGGTGGTTAAGAGCATTTTCCAGTCTTCAAGAGGACCTGAATTTAGTCCCCAGCACCCATACTGGACATCTTACAACTGCCCGTAACTCCAGTTCTAGTGAATCTAACACCTTCTTCTGGCCCCTGTGGACACCTGCACACATCACACAGACACATAGACAGACAGACAGACAGACAGACAGACAGACAGACACACACACACACACACAATAGCTGAGTGTGATGGAGCATGCCTTTAATCCCAGCAGGTGGATCTCTGTGAGTTAAAAAAAAAAAAAAAAAAGATAAACATTTCAAACAAAGATAGACATTTCTCTGCTTTTTGAGGGGTTAGGAGTGAGACCCGAATTCTACCCCACATAGAGGGCGCCACCCTCTACACTGTCACAACTCTGTCCGGCTTCCAATTGCAAGCACAGTCATCCGTGCTGCCCGCTGGTCTTGCCCTGGCCACTGCAGGCCCAACTCTGGAGACCTGGTCTCCATCCTTACCTGTTTCAAAGATCTGGGCGTGCTCTCCCATTCAAGCTATTTAAATGCTGGTGTTCGGCAGCACCCATTTGCCTAGACTTGCATTGACTTTCTTAGAAATTAACCCATCCTTCATTTCAAACTCAGCAAAGAACCAGTTTCCCCCGCTCTGATGAATATTTTTAGTTGTATAAATAGAACACAAATACATTTTCCCTGTAAAATCTTTGTGGGAGACCAAAATAGGCTACCTCAAAATATTCTTCTCTGGCATATTTCAAGATGGCTATTCAGAGCAACTGCAGACAGGAACAGCTCTGAAAAGCTGTCCATCTGTAAAACAGAGTATAGCCAGCTCGGTTAGGAAGGTCAAGGGTGACGGAGAGGAGGGTCTCGCCCTCTTCTCCTCTGCCTTGTCTGGTACTAGGGAAGCGCGGGTGCACAGGACACTTGGAGCAGGAAGGGACTAGCATGACCCTTCACCTGTTTGGTTTTCCTCTTCACTTTTTTTTTTTATTGGAATCTTGTTATGTTGTTCATACTGGTCTAGAACTTATGGGCTCAAGTAATCCTCCTGCCTCAGCCTTCTGAAGAACTAGGCCTCCAGCAGGTACTACCTTGCACAGTATGGTTTAGGGATCACGCCACATTTCGCCATCTTTCGCCATCCATCTGATTTCCTGTCTTTATTTACAGAGACACAGAGTCAGTACCTACCCTTGTCGGTGCCCCTCAGTGCCCACGTGATCCCTAAATCAGCTTCCCACTCAGAGGACTACTTGAAGGATGCAGGTAGTCCTTTCTTTTTTATAATTTTTTTGTTTTTAATTCTTCTCTCATACAATCCATTCCCACTGCAGTTTCCCCTCCCTCCTCCTCATCCCCCTCCTCCGTTCCTCCCCAGATCCACTCCTCCATTTCCTTTCAGAAAAGAGCAGCAAACTTTTCTATACAGCTCATATGCCCTTCAGAAAATCTGCTTCTACTCTTGCCAGCAGAGGATCGAGGTCCCAAGAGTGTCACAGTTACTCCCGAAGTCGAAATCACCTGCTGTTGTTAACGTTTCTCCTATCTGATAAGCAAGAGAGGAGTTGAACAGCATGTCTTGGTCACCCATCAGGGCAGATGACCATGTCCGCATGACCTCATGTATAAGGTCTATTTCCTACCTACTGTCAATGAGCAGCTGGGTTTATAGTCTTTCCCCCACTCAAAGACTAGGGTAAAGGGGCTGGGGAGAAGGCTTAATTTGATAATGTGCCTGCCTCGCAAACATGGAAGCCTAAGTTTGGATCTCTGGCATCCAGGAAAAAGCTGGGCTTGGTGGCAGGCATCTGGAACTCCAGCACTGGGGGGTGGGGTGGGGATGGAATGAGGGTTTAATCCTTGAAGATTATTGGCTGGCCAGGCAAGTTGAATTTAAATGAGCTCCAGGTTCAGTGAGAGATGCTATCTCAAAAGATAAGGTAGAAGGCCAATAAGATGACCCATCAGGTCAAGGTTATGGCCAAGGCGTAACGACTGGAGTTTAATTCTGGGACTTAAATGGTGGAAGGAGAGAACTGACTCCCTCAAGTCCACTTTCACACCTGTGCTGTGGTACGTGCCATGGTACATGCTCATGAGTGCATGCGTGCGTGCACACATACAATAAAGAAATAAAATGTAATAAAGAGCACAAGGTGGACAACAAGTGAGGAAGATGTCTGACATTGACCTCTGGCCTTCACACGCAAGTACATGTACATGTGTGTACACATACATTATGAACATGTACCAAACACACACACTCATCACTCCCCTTTCACATACACAATAGGTTTAAGCCAGGTGTGTTGGCATATGCCTATAATCCTAGCACTTTGGAGGCTAAGGCAGGAGATGGGAAGTTGGAGGCCAACTCCCAAAATCAACAAGAAACATACATCAACAGAATAGGGCTAATTAATTTTTATCTGTCTTATTTGCTGCCCCTAGTATTTACAGCAGGTAATACTTGTGGTTTTGGAGGTACTGGATTCTGTCCTTTCTGACCCTAAACCATGCTGTGCTAGTTCATTTTCTCACCTTTTTTTTCTTTTCCTGGAGACAAGGTTTCTCTGTATAACAGTTCTGGCTGATCTGGAACTCACTCTGTAGACCAGGCTAGCCTCGAATTTACAGAGATCTACCTGCTTCTGCCTCCCAAGTGCTGGGATTAAAGGCATGCAACATCACCGCCCAGCTACATGGTCTTACTTTTAACAACGCTGTAATATAAGGATCTAGGTCCTGGCCCTTAACTTGATTTTAAATTTACCGAGGGCACTAAAACAATGTAGATAGATAGACCTATGCTTAATTTGACCCTCGTCTCCGACCCAGGCACAGGCAGCTGCCGAGGAGGGCAGCACCATTTTGCAGTCCCTGGAGTTAAATGTACGAAGAACTTGGGGACCTCATGGTTTCTTTTCTATTTCTAAGGAGAAATGACAGAAACGGTCCTGCTTGCCTCCTTATCCAACACCAAGCAGTTTGTCTGGTGGGCACACTGTCTGAAATCAGAGGCTGGCGCGGGGGGAATGCCTTCCCAGGTCGGGGTTCCACCCCACCCCCACTTCAACATTTACATTAGATTAGCAGGACACGGGCGGGCGGGCGGCGCTTCCATCTGCCTCCGGAGACCCTGGGGTGCTCACCAGCTCTTCCCTCTCTCTGGTGTAGCAATTTCATCTTTCCAAACCCAAACCCCTTACCTGAGGTCGCGCACGAAGGCCTGGGGAGAGCTGCTGGTCAAACAGCCTCTGCAGAGACTCCAGGGATGGGAGGGTCCTGATGACTTCCCTGGAAGCAGAGGATCAAGGCAAAGTTCAAGAATTAGCGGGAACTAGAAGCCTCAAGGCAACACAGGCTGCAGACAGGTCACACCCCAGTGGCAAATCCCACAACCCTCCCCAGTTGGACATGCCCGGGCAAAGATCAGTCATCCTGTCAGCCTGGCCCACCCTCCCACCCAGACCCCCAACCCTTTCGATTCCCACCAGACTGGAGTGTAACCCACTCAGCATTACATAGCTGTAGAAAACTCCAATCTGGAAACACAAACTACTTCAAAATCATTTAAGAACATCTTCCCAACCTTTAGTGTTTGTGGAATCACACACAGACACACACACACACACACACACACACACACACACACACACACCTCATTAAAAATGCAGATGCCTAGGCTTCATCATGATTTGGTCTGGAGAACCAATTTTTTAATTCATTTATTTACTCTGTGTGTGTGTGTGTGTGTGTGTGTGTGTGTGTGTGTGTGTGTGTGTGTGTGTGTGTGTGTGATGGATGTGTATATATATGTGTGCACATGCATGCAGAGGCTTGAGGCTGACATTAGGTGTCTTGCTCACATTCCACTTTATGTTAGGAAGGCAGGGTTTCTTGATGAACCCAGAACTGGTCAGTTCAGCTAGTCTGTCCAGCCATTTTGCTTCAGGGACTCCCTGTCTTTGCTTACAGCGCCCGTTGGAATCCCCAGTGAGCCACCACACCCACCCGGTCTTTATGTAGTAACTGGGGATCTGAACTCTGGTCCTTAGGCTTATACAGCAAGAACTTTATTCATTGAACCGTCTCACCAGCCTCCTGGAAAGCGCATTTTAAATGTGCAGCATATGAGCAACACTGGATGGACTCGGCATAGAATTATGTATTTATGTGTATCTATGTAACAACAATAATAAAGAACACAAGATGGGAATTTGAGTGAGTGGAGGAGACTTGGGAGGAGTTGGAGGTAGCACAGGAAGGGGAAATGATATAAATACAATATTCGAACATGAAATTCTTTCAAAAAGTGATAAAGGAAGCTGGGAGTGGTGGCACACGCCTTTAATCCCAGCACACAGGAGGCAGAGGCAGGCGGAGTTCTGAGTGCAAGGCTAGCCTGGTCTACAAAGTGAGTTCTAGGACAGCTAGGACTATAGAAAAGGAAAAAAAAAAGATAATGAAAAGTAAATAAATAATTCGACTTTGGGGTGCTGGGTGGAGTTCCCTGTGTTCAGATTCAGATCTCCTGGCAGCTAGAGTGTCAAGTCTGTAGATAGTCCCAGAACTAGGTTAGATGAATTCTCTAGTTCCCTCTCTTTTTGTTATTGTCACATCCTTTGAAGCCTAGCGAGAAGTCTTAAGTTTGATTTTGCACTTAGCATTTTATAAACAAAGCAAAAAACTGTCCATGTTTCTACATGTTTAACATTCTAAAGTTTTCAAAATAAACTGCTAAGAGATGAGCCCAAATCGATGTCTAGAAGTGTAGGTCAATGTGAGATCTTTGTTATTATAAACACTGTTCTGAACAGTGCTGTTCGTATGCCTTTCTTTTCTTATTTCCAAGTTAGGAGAAGCAGGGATCGTGGCTTTCTTTCAACACGGACACCCTCGGGACAGCCCTGGCGGGGCCGAGCGGACACCCTCGGGACAGCCCTGGGGCCGGGCTGCCAGTACTGTTAATGTCTTGATGTCTTGACTGACTTCTGTTTTGCTTTTACTGCTTTCTCCTCTGTCTGTCTGTCTTTCTCCCCAGAGCCTCTGCCCCGCGCCCCCCCCCCCCCTCCCCCCGTCTCCTGTGACTCCGGCTGGCCTCATACTTGCTGTGTAGCTGAGGATGACCTTGAACTTCTGATCCTTTTGCCAAGTGCTGGGATTACAGGTATGTGCTGTCACACACGTCTAAGTGGCATTTGGGATTGAACGCAGGCTCTGCGTGTGCTGTGCGTGCCCTCTCCACCGGTTCTCTCTCTCTCTCTATGTCCATAGTTACGTCCTACTTCAGGACTGAGCACGCCTGGGGTCCTGAGTGGGCTTCTATATGAATTTCTAATGCCTTTAAGTATGGTTCTGTGGTTGATTTCTACTCTATTTCTCTTTAAATAAACTGCCTATCTCTTCCACCAACTTTCCTTTGGGAGTTTAGTCATTTTCATACATTGTTATAAAGTTTACTTAGTGCTGCTAAGTGAATCTAGGCACCATGCTTTTTGCACTATCACACAATTTTCATTCTAGATGTGTTAGATGCCATTATAAAGTGATTTAAAACTTTTTATTCCCCTATTATCTTTTCTCTAGCTATTCCTTGTATAGTAAAGTTAGAAACTTATCATTAATATTCACTAGTGAGTATTTATTTGCTCATTAAAATTTTCTCTCTGTGTGTGTGTGTGTGTGTGGTGTAGGCACTTGTGAGTGCGCAGGTACACCTGTGTCAGGCGTCCTTCTACATCCTCTTTGCCGTATTCCCTTGAGACAGGGTTTTTCAATGAACTTGAAGCAAGGCTGGTGGCCGGCCAGCCCCAGTGATTGTCCCATTTGTCTACTACAGTGCTGGGTGGGGTATGGGTGAGTTCTTTTTTGTTTGTTTGCTTGTTTTTCTGAGACAGGGTTTCTCTGTGTAGCCCTGGAACTCACTCTGTAAATCAGGCTGGCCTGGAACTCTGAGAGCCATCTGCCTCTGCCTCCCGAGTTTTAGAATTAAAGTTATGTATCACCACCCACGGGTTGTGGGTGATTAAAAAATTTTTTTTTTTAATTTATGTGCATTGTTTTGCCTGCATGTATGTCTGTGTAAGGGTGTCCAGTCCCCTAGAACGGGAGTTACAGACAGTGAGTGCTGGGAATTGAACCCCAGTCCTTTGGAAGAGTAGCCAGTGTTCTTAACTGCTGAGCTATCCCTCCAGCCCCATGGGTGGGTTTTTTAAGCTGGATATCGTGGCACATGCTTCTAAACTAAGCCTTGTGGTAGCTAAGGCAAGAGGAGAGAGAGAGAGGTCAAGTCAGGATGAGCTATGTATTGAGACCCTGTCTGACAAAGAAGAGGGAAAAAGGCAAGTTTTAAAAATTAGAAAAAGAGAGGCTGGAGAGATGAGTCAGCTGTTAAGAGCCGGCCGTTGCAGCGGAGAACCAAGTTAGAGTCTGAGTACCCATGCGGAGTGACTCTCACGGTCCTATCATTCCAGTTTCAAGGAATCTGTTGCCCTCTTCTGGTCTCTCTGTACACATGCATGCACATGGTACACATACAGATAAGGAGGCACACACACACAAGTACACACAAGTAAAATAAACTTAAACATAAAAATAATAAAATATAGAAGTGAATTTTTGCCTATCTGAACATCTATGTAAATAATTCCTTTATTTTAAAAATACTTTTTAAAAATTTATGTTATGTATGTAAGTATGTGCACTATTTGTATAATTTGTGTCTACGGTGGTCAAAGAGGACATCGGATCTCCTGGAACTAGAGATACAGCAGTTGTGAGCCTCCCCGTCGGTGCTGGGAACTGAACCCAGGTCCTCTGCAAGAGAAGCAAATGTTCTTAATTGCTGAGTCACTCCTCCAGCCCTCGATGCCTTTATTTGTTGAATCTGTCACTAAATTGCAGTTTTCTGTATGTTGACTTTAATCTTAGTCCTCAGAACAGGATGCAGAGGAGGCCCTCAGTTAGTGCTTGCTAGAGGGTAGGTGAACACATGAATGAGTGAATGCACCTACTGTTTAATCAAAGCACTTTCAACACTGGGTTTATGTGGGATACAACTGCAGGGATGTCGGGGGTCAAGGGGAGCAATTTGTTCCATCTCTCCATTCAGCCAAGTCTCCATGCCTGGCCACCACCTGATCTATAACAGTGAAGAAATGTGTCAAGAACATTCCAGTGTTTTGAACGACTTGAAGTTAATTATTCAGTAAATAGCGATACGGAAGCTTTTCACACTGATATAATGTGCCAGAGAAGCAGGCACATCAGGGAAGCTGCTGTCACCATAGAGATGAGGTGAGGCAGGAGCTGGGAAAGTCAGTGTTGTGGGGAGCTGTGGAAGGGTCTGGACAGACTCCAGCAAGGACACAGCAAAGGTCAGAACCTGTGTCCAGGCAGAAATAACAGCTTGTTATGAGCCGTCACAAAATGATACATATTTATATATTTTCAAGAAAAGGCCATTTGTGTGTGTTTTCCCCTATTGATAAATGATTTGTAACAATGGAACAAAATATAGCATGGAGACCTATCAAAATGACAGCCCCGAGTCCAGCTGCCTGTACAACAGCATCAGCTGAGAAAGCCACTTCACTGAAACAAATGACTGGCAGGCCAATCCGACGACTGCCTGGCTTGTCAAAGAAAGCATTTTGGTGCATTTACCAAATTCACTGCCTGTGCCTTTAAGAGCCTTTAAATAGAACAGTGAATTAGATTGCTGATGATGAAAGACTCTTTTCTGAATATTAACCAAGCTAAGATTGGTACAGCACCAGAGAACTGGAAACTGCTGAAAGTATACCAAAATGTGAAACAGTACAGGCCAGCAGCAAGCCCTCACGAATGGGAAATGCTTCCCGCTCTTTGTGAGGGGTTTGTTTTGGCTCGGTGACTGTTTTTAGTTGCTTCCTGGTGTTACTTTTCAACGCCAAGCTATAAGCATTTGAAATATTCCCTGCTAATTCCTCACACTGCAGACCAGCCTGACTTTTGGTCTCCTAACAATAAAAATGTAGTTATGAGGTTGTTTTGTTTTGCTCTTTTTTTTATTTATGTCTCTCTGTAGCCCTGGCTGTCCTGAAACTCATTACATAGACCAGGCTGGTCTCAAACTTACAGAGATCCACCTGCCTCTATCTCCCAAGTTCTGGGATTAAAGGCATGTGCCACTAGCAGCTCCAACCGAAGTGAAATTTAAAATGTACAATCAAAAGAATGTTTAAAAAATCTTAAGTTTTACCAGTTGGTCAGTCATTCAATAACTTCAGTACTGGGGAATTGATGTTTCCGTGAATCGGCTTACTTTAAAAACTTCCGTTACCAGAAGACTGCAGCCATTACCACCCACACACAAAATGACTTTAATTTATTTCCTGCTGGTGCCGTTATGTGTTCATTGGATGTGGAGGCTGCAGCAAGGAGAAAAATGGTGACAGAAGTCTAAAGGGCTCGATCAGACCGCTGAGATAGCTCAGCGGATCAAGAGCATCTGTGCAAGTCTGACGACCTGAGCTCAATCCCGGATCCCACATAAAGGTAGGAGTAGGGAACCAACTCTGCAGAGCTGTCTTCTGTCCTACACATACAGCACAGCACATGTGTGCCCCCCCACATCAATAAAAAAATATATATTTAAGGACCGGGTCCTGAGCAAAGGAGCTGGCAGTGTGCCCGACCTTTCTTTACAGAGAAACTGCCCCTAATTAACCTGAGTGAAAATAAACAAAAACAACAGCAGCGAAACCTAGACAGGATCGGAACACTTGTATAGCACGCACAAGGCTCTGCGCCCCCAGCATGCATACATGCACACACACACACCCCGCCCCAAACAACAAAGAACAAACAGATGAGCAACCTCTCCCAGCCCAGTTAGAATCTGATTCTATGAGAACAGGAGCTTCAAACAAGCATGGAGCTTCCCAGGCTCTGCCCACTGTCCAGTTACTGAGTGCAGCAGAGACATCTGGAGGGAGAGGAGAACCCGGGGTTGCTTCAGTGACTGCCTTCTCTTCCGTCCTCCTCTGGGGTGCCATTATCTGCTTTATTATCCCACCCCCTGTGAAGCCCCCCATCCCTGCCTCAGGCCCTCCATTACCCGTGGAGTTCCTTGCAGAGCAACGAAGTCAGTTTCTTCAGGTGAGGGAGGTTGCTGGAGCCCGTCTTCACAAAGTCGGAGTCCAGGACAAGCTGATTGCTCACATAATCCTGGATGGCTTTGAGATGCTCCTCTGGGAGCCTGAAAATCAAGAAGGAAGTGAAAGCCTGCTTCACCTGTTCCAGCTGGAGATACCTAATTGGTGACAGATTGGAGATACCTAATCTTTGGTTGAGACATCTTTGGGAGATCTGGGTGCCTGAGTGAAGAAGGTCCCTCAGGTGGGACTACAGAGGCACCTCTGGGTACTGTTGAAGGGAACTGATAGGATGGGGGCTGGGAAATGGTTTTCTTTCTTTCTTTCTTTCTTTCTTTCTTTCTTTCTTTCTTTCTTTCTTTCTTAGTTTTTTTTTTTTTTTTTTGAGACAAAAAGCCTCCAAAACATATGGAGGGGTCAGTTTTCCATGTCCTCAGCTCATACAGCTGGAATCCAAGGGTTAGAAGGACAATCCAGCCTAGAGGTAACAAGTAGGTCTGACCCTCACACAAAGTCCAAATTCACAGTCAAAGATGACCCAGAACACTACAGGACAGAGGGGCTGGAGACACCCTGGACTCCATGGGAAAGTCAATGAATTATTAATTTTGTTTTCTTAGAGCTCGAAGGTGGGGTGGAGGTGGGATAGGGTCTGCCTCCAGGTTGAGTTTGAACTGTTCTTTTTTGTTTTGTTTTGTTTTTGTTTTTTGAGACAGGGTTTCTCTGTGTAGCTTTGGTGCTGTCCTGGATCTCGCTCTTAGTTTGGCTCTCCCACATAACCTCTTCCTGCTTAGCTATTGGCCAGTCAGCTCTTTATTATCAATGAGAACAACAGTATACAAAAGGATTATTCCACAGCAGGGTACAGACATTGTTCATGGAAGAGCTACATCAAGTGTTTGTGTCTGTGTGTTTCCAACTCTGGGACTCAAGTTGTCTCCTTTCAATCAGGCCAATAGCTAAGCAGGAAGAGGTTATGTGGGAGAGCCAAACTAAGAGGATGCTGGGAAGGAGGGCAGAGTCACGAGGGGTCACCAGGGACATGTGGAGGAAGCAGTAGATAACCATGACATACTGGATAAGGGTACTGCCACATGGTAGAGTGTAGATAAGAAATATGGGTTAATTTAAAATGTAAGGACTAGTTAGTAACAAGCCTAAGCTATTGACCAGGCTGGCCTTGAACTCACAGAGATCCACCTGGCTCTGCCTCCCGAGTACTGGGATTAAAGGTGTGTGCCACCACCACCCAGCCAAGTTTGAACTCTTGATCTTCCTACCTCAGCCTCCTTAGTGCTGGTACATCCAGTTGGCTACACAAGTGTCGGAACTACAGGCACATACCACCATGCCTGGCTTCTCTGTGTGATTAGGGCCAGGAATGTGAGACCAGGTAGTAGATGTTTAGGTGGCCTGACTTTGTCCACACACCCACCCCGAACCCCTATTTGGCCTGGTCTTTTCAGTTTACAAAGTGATAAGAGCTGAAAGGCAGATGTTTGTGTCTGTGTGTTTCCAACTCTGGGACTCAAGTTGTCTCCTTTCAATCAGGATGCACCACCTGATCTCCCCACCCCATCCCCCCATCACATATCCCCAGGGATCATGTGCTCTTAGGAGCCAGCCTTTCCCCAGCACTTGATGTAGCTCTTCCATGAACAATGTCTGTACCCTGCTGTGGAATAATCCTTTTGTATACTGTTGTTCTCATTGATAATAAAGAGCTGACTGGCCAATAGCTAAGCAGGAAGAGGTTATGTGGGAGAGCCAAACTAAGAGGATGCTGGGAAGGAGGGCAGAGTCACGAGGGGTCACCAGGGACATGTGGAGGAAGCAGTAGATAACCATGACATACTGGATAAGGGTACTGCCACATGGTAGAGTGTAGATAAGAAATATGGGTTAATTTAAAATGTAAGGACTAGTTAGTAACAAGCCTAAGCTATTGGCCAAGCATTTATAATTAATAATAAGTCTTTGTGTGGTTATTTGGGAGTCAGTTTCGGGGACAGAGCTGACTGGCAGGATGGTACCTTATTAGTGAAGCCATAAGATTGTGATGCCGTCCTGGGGCCTCACAAGAGCTGTGTGAGGAGAGCATGTAGACAGTCACATTGGGTTTCCTAGGGTTCAAGGCTACTGTTTCTGAGACTAGGGTATGCCTGTGGAATGGAGAGGTTCCTCCTGCAGCTAACTATGATAGGATGCAGTGCAACAAGAAGGAGCAAGCCTCGCAGAGCGATTTCCTGTGAGAAACACTTTAGGAACGTGGGTGACTATGGGTGTGGAGGTGCCACCTGACCACAGAATGGTAATGACCTTCTAAATGAAAAGCAATCTTGCACTTACCAGGACAGAAAGACCTAAAAATTATAAATGTAAAAAACACTCCAAAACTTTAAAAGTAAGCAAAAAAGGAGAGTAGACATTTTCCCTCTCAAAGATAATGATGAAGTGTTAGTGTACAAGGAAATTATAAAATCTGACAAGAGAAATACAAAGACCCTGATCTCAGAGAAATGAGCTAAGGACAAAAATAACTTTTTTGTTTTTTGGAGGGAGATAGTCCTGACTGAAAATACAGAAGTTGTCTTTCAACTTTACTATTTATAAGTTGAATGAGAAGGACTCTTGCTCCCTACAGCCTGGGCCTGTGCATGCCTGGGTGCTAGATGCTGGTTCTGGGCACAGGTCAGCTTCCCAGGGGGCCCTCCAGGTGGAAACTCACCCACTGGTGTCCATGCTCTGAAGTCGCTGAAACAGCGTCTCAGTGAGACTCGGCCGGGTGACTTCAGGGGCTCGGGGGTTCTCCATTGGAAGAGGAGGGTCCTTGGCCTCACAGGGTCCAGCAGACATGGGAATGTTTCTGGGAGGTAGCTCCGGCGGTGACATGACACTTTCTCCTAGGAGAACAGTAGGAACAAATGCCATCTGCGAGGACAGTGTGTATATAGGCCTGCTCGGCATCTCTACCACAGCCCTAGGAGGTCCAGGCTACCAATTCCAGGTCCTAGCCTGTCACATGGTCCCTGTCTGTCACATGGTCCCTATTCCTCCTCACTACATCCATGTGAACGCCTGATTAGATAGAGAGCCTCCTGAGGCTGACCTGGTTTCATGATCCTTAGACCCGGGGCCTCTCTGGCCGTGGTCTGTCCTACCACGTTGTTCAGCAAAGACCTATTGCACAGGGATACCTGCAGATTGCTGGTCTTGGACAGACCAATCTGCAGATTAGAATGATGACTTGGCTCTGAGGGTTACAAAGCACAGCCAGGGCTTATGGGCAGGAAATCAAGCCCATCCAACTGCTCGAGCTCTCAACCACTCTCTCTCCCCCCACTTCTGCCCTCCCTCACTCTCCATTCTCTCCCCTTTCCCTCTTCTAGACCCTCAGAAACAAGTTTAGAAAATAAGGGGTCCTCTCATTCAAAGACCCCGACACATCAAACACACAACTTGACCTTCGTCTGAGAGACTGAGACCCTTGCCAATTCCTTCCAAATAATCCCTCATGTGCACAAAGGTCACTGAGTCATTTAGGTTCAGGACTTCCTGCCCAAGTCCCTCCTGACCCCTAATGGCTACCCTGGCTCCAGCCACAGCACTGTCTGGTGACAGGAACAAGGGACTTTTCCTTCAATGTATGTGCACCCCCCTTCCTCTCCCTCTCGGCTGTGGATGACAGTTCTGTTTCTATTTTGGGCCCGGGAACTGCAGGCCCAAATCAGGTCAAATGCAGGTCAAATCAGACACCTAGTCCAGGCTCTGGATGTCCCTTCTTAGCTCTGGGTCTTGTATGTGACCAGGAGCCTTGTCTGGGGAAGTGAAGTCAAGGTCAGGAAAGTGGGCTTGTCTCTGGAGCCTTTACAGGAAGAATTGGGGGTTTGTTTCTGCTGGCATCCCAGGGGCAGGGGAAGCTCAAGGGAAGCTGGGTAGGTGGCCTGAAGGAAGTGAGAAGGGTGAAGTGTAGAAGACGTGTCTACAAGACAAGATCAAGGCCGCCATCTTGGCCCCAGCTGCTGAACTCTAAAGTCAGACAAAGGAGACTTGGCAGTTCCCATCAGGAGACTCGGCACTGTGGTCATCTAGGATGAATGCTTTGCCTGGCCTCCTCTACTGTTCCTTCAAGGATGGTGAGCTGCATCTCCTGGCTGCCTTTTGGCAGCTAGCTTGAGCTAAACAAGCAGGAAATGGGGGTCTCCAGGGATGCAGAAGTTTGGAGAAGGGGGCAGGTGATCTACAGCTAGCCCACTGGAGAACAGGATGCCCCGAATGTGCCTGGCATATTCTCACCAGGGCCAGGCAAGAGCCAGACCTGGGACATCAGCATTGCTGGTCTAATGTCTTCCCCAGGGAACCTGCCCAGAGCACGCTGTCCAGCTGAGGGGCTCAAGAGGTTACTTGAGGGCTTCTGTTAGTCAAGGAACCTTTGAGATGAAAAGAAGGGTATCCTGCCGGAGGGCTCTCTGAATAACTGTCTCTCCATGACTGGTCCCTTGTCCTTCTGCTGTTCCTCACCCATTCTTGGGAACTTTTTTTTTTTCAAAGTATTTTAGGAGCCTCTTTAGAGATGGTGGTGTCTCACTATGTAGCCCAGGCTAGCTCAAACTCAGGCTTTTCCTGCCTCAGCCTCCCAAATTTTGGGATTGCTGGTGGCATGTACCACCATGGCCATTTCTGTTGTCTTTAATGATGGTATAAGCAGAAGCACTTTGTCCATCCTCTCACTTAGGTGCAAGGATTGCCGTCATTGTTTTCATTATAATGAGGAAACTGAAGAGAGCACCATTCATGGAGTGTTCGCTGTGTACTGTGAATAACGCTCCATTCATGGGCTCACCTGATCCTGTGACATCCTGAGAGGTTGGTATGTGTTACTGCCACCTAATCTTTTTAAAGGGAAGCTTGTGGTTCAGAGAGTCAAAGTCACTCAAAGCCACACAAGCAGGAGAGCAGGATTTCTGGTCCACACCTGACTTCAGAGCCCATGCTCCCCATCCACCATTACTGTGCTATACTCTCCCTCTGCCAGCAAGACCTTCTGATCTGTGAGCACCTGTGAGACCAGACCACAGAGTCCTGCTGGCACCTCCCCACCCGTGCCAACCTCGACCTCCCTCCCTACCAGTGTCCTCCTCGGCCTCGTCGATGGCGTCTTCCTCCTCCAGCGGCACAGGGTACTGCAGGTGGGTCACCAACCCCATGTTTTCCTTCTTGTAGAACTCGATGAGCTGGTCCAGCTTTGTGAAGAACCTCATGGGGACACCTTCGGATGCCTGGGGACAGAGCACATTTTCACTAGAATGTCACTCAACCACAAAGGCCACCTGCAGCCAAGACCGAAGAGACTGGGAGTGACCGTACTCCAGAAAAAGCTTCAGGCTCTCCACCCACACTACATATCCTGCAGCCGGTGACTCCCAGGAGCCCTTGGGAAAGGTGCAAATGGGGGGTATTTTTAAAACTATTTTTCGTTTCAGCAGTTAATTATTTTTATTTTACTATTCAAATATAGTATATTTTTATTATACCCAAATTAGGAAATAGAGATTTTTTTTTAAAGAAATCACCTATACCCTCAAAGGCCCAAGGGCTCTATTTTTAATAGTTCCAGTGTGTGTGTGGTGAACAGAGAGAGCTATTTTTGCTCCCCCATCACAAAGATAATTTCTAAAAATTATTTTTTATTTTTGGTATTGAAGGTTGAACTCGGGACCTCACACATGCAAAGCACAGCCCTGCCACTAAAGGACACTCCCAGGCCCAGGCTATTTGTTTATTAATTACTCCCTCTTACAGCATCGGGAATTGAACCCAGGGCTTCACACATGCTAATCGAGCAACCTACCACTGCTCCATCTCCTGTCTCCGCCCCCTGAGTGCTGGGACAGGTCATAGGTCACTAGCACAGTTGCTGCCCTTTTTAACTTTCTTTTGAGGCAGAGTCTCTCCGAGTTATCCAGGCTGAGCTTGAGTTCATCCTCCTTCTGGCTCAACCTCCAGAGTAACTGGGATTAAGGACACATGCCACCACACAAGGCTTGTTTATTTATTTATTTGAGGTTTTGAACTGGGGTCTGGCTGTGTTGCACAAGGTGGCCTCGAACTTCCAACCATCCTCCTGCCTCAGACTCTCAAGTGCTTAAAATCAGAAGCCTGTGCCACCACAACTATTATTTTTAAAGATAAGAAAATGTGCTCTTGTAATGTTTTCATTTGTTTTAACTGTGTTTTTGTTTGTTTATTTGTTGAGATTGGGTCTCACTATGCAGCCCTAGTTGGCCTGGAACTCACAGATTTGTCTGCTCCTGCCTCCTGAGTGCTGGGATTAAAGGTGTGCACTACAATGCCAGACACAGCTACTTTTTTAAAGATAGAATTATTTTATGTGTATGATGTTTTGCCTCCATATACGCATGTACGCCATATGAGTACAGTGTTCATGGAGGCCAGAAGAGGCCATCAGATCCCTTGGACTGGAGTTAGAGATCATTGTGAGCCATCCACGTGGGTGCTAGACTCTGAACCCTGGTCCTCTGCAAGAGCAGCCAGTGCTCTTAACTGCATGGCCACCCATCCAGCTCTTGATTATAGTTGTTTAAATCCAAAGTCAGAAAGTGGTCCAAGGACTACTGTGCGTCTGCTGTTGATGATGAAGTAAATCTGCTTTACTGTTACAACACTCTGGGACCAGGACTCTTATATGTTGGTGGAAGAGAGAACTCCAGCAGGAAATTCAAGGTCTTCTCTGAACAGCTAGCCCAGTCCCCACCAAGATGCCCCTTCATCCATCTAGGCATACCCTTGCTAAGACAATAGCCCTCCAGGCAGCCAGATCGGAGCAAGGGACCAAGATACTGAAGGTAACAGCGGGCAGCACACACATCTTTTCTCTAATGTGTCTTCTGTGGCTTTTCAGGGTCACGATTCCTCCACCTGGGCCTCCAAACACCAGTGTCTGCCCATAGCTCACGCCTGTCTTTATTTTGTTATTTTATTTTAAGACAATGTCTTATATTGTAGCTCAGGCTGGCCTCAAACTCATGGCAATCCTCCTGCCTCAGCTACCTGGATGTTGGGATTACAGGCATAAGCCACCATGTCCAGCTGTCCCTATCTTCTCAACAATGACTCTTCTATCCATCTTCAGATTTGGAGATCAGAGGTTGGATGTTTTCTTTAGGGGCTGCTAGCTGCCTTCTTGCTGAAAGAGACTCACTGCTTGTAGTAAACAAGGCCGATAAGAAGATGGTTGGGGTTACCGAGTCCTCACAGGAGGGCGAGCCGGTGGTTGACTCAATCACCTCTTCTACATTAGATTCCTATTGCTCATAGCTTGAGGGCTTCATCTGGGAGGCTTGGTAGGACATTGGCCTGGGGACATCAGGATCACAGGTGAATGGGACAGAATGTAGGTGACATCATCCCATGGACTGAGGTCCAGCAATGAATAAGAAGGGGAAAACAAAGTGACAGACACCAGCACTCACCACTCTGCCTCCTGCCTGTGGACACAGTGTGACCAGCTGCCTCTGTTTCTCCCGCTGGACCTTCCCCATCTCCCCATCACCCCATCACAGCGGACTGCAGCCCCTGGAACTGTAAACCAAACTAACCCTTCTCTTCCTCCAGCTGCTTTTGTTGGGCATTTTGCCACAGCAATGAGACGAACAACTGATCCAACCAGGAAGCTCTCAGACTTGTCTCTGACCCCAGGCTCGTGGGGCTTCCACACTGTAGTGAGGACACAGGGTCTGTGTGAGACTCAGGCCGTCCATACAGGCTCCCTGCCTCCCTCTGTCTGCTTCTCTTTCTCTTCAAGTGTACTTGTGTGCTCGTGTGCACTGCACACAAAAATCTGTGTGTGTGTGTGTGTGTGTGTGTGTGTGTGTGTGTGTGTGTGTGTGTGTGTGTTGTACGGCTTAGGCTGCTGTAGCAAATCTGTAGAGAGCTTAACAAAACTGTTGTTTATTCTTTTTATTAAATTCCCTTGTTTCCTCAAAGCCCCATGCTGCACAATCTCTTGTACGCACTGTTAACCACCTGAGTGGCAGCCCCTGCTGAGATTTCCAGAATATTCTTTCAATGGTTCAAATGCAAACAAGAGTGAAACAACAGAAGTAACTTGATGAGATGTAAGACCTTCGTACTCAGTTCAGTTAAAGTAATCGTAAGTATGTGTGGTCTGGGGGCGGGGGTTGGGGTTTACACCGAATGGATGGCGTGCCACCAGGCATCTGGGAAAAAAATGAAAATATCAAAGAAATTCAAGGTAGGCTGACCCATGCGTGAATCTGGGAAAGGAGTCTCTGCTGAGTGGGCGGGAGTGCCTGAGGACCGCATGTGTGAAAGCACCAGCGATTTGGGGTTTAGGAGGCACCCAACAGAGACGTGCATGATTTTATATAACAGTAAAAAAAGAAAGAAAGAGGAGAAGGGAGGGAGGAAGGAGGAGAGGAAGTGGGGGGAGAGAGGGGGGGGGAAACTGGAACTGCTGCACTATTGAACTGTAGACATAGTCAATGTGGAAAAAATAAACAATGGGTGAGCAGGCTCAAGCCAAGAAACGGACGAGCTGAGAGAAATCCCTGCAGGGTGGAAGCAGAGCTGGTGGAAGCAGCTAGGGATGCTGGGAGCTGTTGGGCACGCCTCTCTGGCCACTGCCTCTGTTTGCACCAGTCACAGGAGCCAGGGACAGGGCCTGGCAGCCTAGGGTGGCAGACTGCCCGGGGTGGCACAGGCTTCCAGGAAGATAGGGAATGCAGAGTTGAGTTCAAACGCCAAGGATGGTGAAGTAGGCACCTTGGGTGGACGCATAAGCCAGTTGTAATGGCCTACTGGGGAGGGAAGCTTTCCTCCAACCCACAGGTCCCACTCTCTAGGGGTGGGGCAGTTGGATCGTCCTCCCCAGTCCATATACTGGAAAGGTAATCCCTATATTCACATTTGGAGGTAAGGCCTTTGGAAGGGTGGGGCCCCATGATGGGCTCAGTGGCTCTCTGAGCCCAGGGAAAGCAAATGCACACTTGTTGTCTGGCCATACGATACCCTATGCCATATTGTAGTGCAGCTCAAAGGACCTCACGATAGGGGCTAGCACTTTGCTCCTAGACATCCCACCACCAGAACTGTGAGCCAAAAAAAGCTGTAAGCCTTTATTTGTGTGTGTGTGCTAGGACCTTGTTCATGCTAGACAGATGCTCTACCACTGAGCTACATCCCCAGTTCTTAAGCTTTATGCTCTATAAATGACCCCGTTTGTGGTATTCAGTTATAGCAAGAAAAACCAGTTATTTATGTGTGTGTGCAGTGAATCCGCACACATACAAGTGTAACTGCAGAGACAGACAGGAGCGTGAGACAGGGAGGCAGGGATCCCAGGTGAACAGTCTGAATCCATTCCACAGAAAAACGTCCTCAAAGAGGTCATGTGTCTGAACTACAATGCAGACTCACCACTCAGGAGCCAGGACTCAGGGACAGCTCTGAGTGCTTCCTAGTTCTAGTACCCAGAAAGAATACATGGCCCTCCTAAGGGAAGCAAATCCCTATGAGATAAATTTCAATTGAAGAGGAGACCTGTTATGTCACACGGGCCAGCAGAAAGCAGCCTGTCTCCACACACAGGAGGTGATGAAATACAAGTCTCAATAGGCCAGAGAAAGGGGCTCTTTCAAAACGCTGTCTTCGTATGTCTTGGCTCTTGGTAATATGACTTATGGGTTAACAAAGATTCTCCATGAGGAATTTATATTCAAGGCACATTCTAGAGAAAGGGCCATAGAATAAGGCAGGAGTTGTAGAAGGTGTGAGCTAGCTCACACAAGGTCAGACCTAGGAGTGAAATCTACGTAGGTGAGTGCATGCCTCTATCCACATAGTACAGAAAATAGTAGCCTACCCTTGGCACGGCATTCTTAAGATGGGTTTAAAAGGCCCTGTGTCCAGGCAGGGTGGCCAGTGAATGGCTGGCTCTGGGTGAAGGGCAGCCATCATTGGGTGCAGCTTAATAAACGCCACTAAGTCTAAACCAACAATTGGGAGGGGTCTTCCAGGTGGCAGTGTACTGACTGTGGGCTGGGAAGAATAGTAATGTCCTTTGGTAATGAGCCTAGAGATCCCTTCCTACATTAGAAATTGCCCATACCCACCTGCCTGAGAGCCCATCAACACACCCCCACAGAAGCCAGGTCTGCACACTGCATCTAGATCAGCCATACTGCCTGGCAAGCGAGCAACTACCGACTCTGTGGGGTTACTACAACGGGACCAGAAT